TAAAAAAGTGCCAAATCGACCCCCTCACCTGGGAGATGATTACTCCACACTGTAACGCTTGGAGGAGCACCACACGAGAAGGTGTCAATACTTTTGAGTTATCCCAACTGCAAACTGAGGCAGACAAGTGCCAACGCTGGAAAAACGCTGCCACCGCCCCTCCTGCACTAGGTGTAGCCGTCCACACATGCAACATCTGTGAACGACCCTGTCGGTTCCGTATCTGTCTCTTTAGTCACCCAGAGCTCACCAACGAAGGTGACATCCTTAATAACTCATATCATTGTCTCATAGCTAGATGATTGTCATACTCATTTCCGAGTGACAGCAAAGTATTAGTAGTAGTGTGTACACTCGTGTGGTGTACTTTATTATAATTTTTTATTTCATATTTCAGAATCCAGCTGCAAAAAGTAATGGACAAAAGGTTCAAGAGGTCTTGTTATCGTACACACCTCCATCCCTCTTGACTCTCATCCTAGACTTAGTGAGAGCGAGAACTGAAAAACTTATGAATAACGTGCAGCCTGGAGTCTCTCAAACCAATACCACTCAAAGGAACTCAATGAGTAGAGGTAAGAAATACTTTAAACTTAAATTATAATGATATATATGTGATGTGATACAAGGAGATGGTCACAAATGTCAATCATTAACCTTTTAATAAGAGGGTTTTCTCACCCCTTACGAGTACGAGGAATTTGAAAAATATAATCAATAGGTCTTACATTGTTTTAAGTCTTTGTGGTGGTCCCAGGAGACCTATTTTTTAGTATGTCTTCAAGGCTATAGTTTTCAAATTGGACTTAACCCAACAGCATTGATGGCTGTAGCTAAGCAATTAGTGTATATCTTCTGTTGCAACTATCATCCTTAACCCATTGTTATTATTATTTTTAACATCCTAATGTGTACCTCATCTAACTCACCATACTGTATGCTTTTCATTGTTATTATTATTTTTAACATGATAATTAAAATTTTCAGGTAATTCTTCTGATACTTTAGATTTAGATTTTGATGACTTTGATGGATCACCAATGGAAACAGTAGATGACTTTGATCTAGAAGCTGAACAAAGCAGTTCAATTTCAAATGAAAACACTGATGGTAAGTAACGATATGTTTTGTGTTGCTAGGTTATAGATATAATGCCCATTCACCATTTAACCTCAATACAGAATCTAACCTTGTGCAATGGGATACATTTAGGATTTTTATTTTAATGAAATAAATTTTGCTCAAGTTTGTACATCATATATAAAGTAAACCCTCGAAGATCTGGATCCGGGAAATCCGGATTTCGGAAGATCCGGACAAAAAATTAGGGGGTTCTGGGCTAAGAAGTGTCCTAGAAGTTTGCCAAAGAAACATTCCCAAACCAGAGCAAAGAACATTTTAGACCCGTGGGCGCTGCTTGACCCGTCAGTTGCTTGGACACGAGTGCCCGAGGAGGTGGGAAACATAAACCGAGTTGACAATTGTTGTTTGTGGGAATATTATATAATTCACTCTAGTAATGACACAATGTTTCTTATTATGTTATCATAGGTAAATGCTTGGTTTATATATGGTAATTTGTTTATCACTGCATTAGTACTGTATTTTTGGTGTTTCTTATATCATTTATTAATTATTCGCCGGAAAAGCCTGACAGTCGGCTTTTCCGGACAGGTGGTCCCCCCTTATAGTCCGGGTCTTCGAGGGTTTACTGTACTGTACAGTACTGCGTCTTCATAGTCTTGCACACCAAGAAACACTTCATAGAAATAAATTTGTATTTCTTGACGGGAGACTCACATTTTTAATAAATTTGTTTCTGATTATTTGTGAGAGTATTTTCCCATTATTATTGATTTGTATGTGTTTTACACACACACATACACACACACACACACACACACATACAATACAGGTAAAAGAAATATTTGTCCTAAGGGCAAACACATAAAGGGAATATAGTATACATTTCTTTGTACACAAGTAAAAATGTTACCCCTCCTCCCTCCTAGGTCAGCAAATGTTATTTGCGGATTTGGTGATTCACGGCTATTTTGAGAATATAACCCCCGCTAATTTGAAGGACATGCTGTAGTTATCTTTTAACCTCTAGTGGTGACTGCTGTATTAAAAGAAACTATTTTCAACAGTAATATACAATCAGTGGATTAGCCACAGCTCCCATTATTTAGGAGTTTCCGAGGAGCCCAGTCCAGACTCATTCATGAAACAGGATTTACAGGATTAATCCATCATTTGATGCTGAGAGTTTTGGTGAATATTGTGTTTCAATTTTACTTACAATGGCCTCTTTTTTTTTCTTCAGAACAAATCATTATAGAAGATGTTAGTTCCTTCAGTTTACAAAATCAGTGCATTGTGATGGCACTACAGTGGTTGGTTGTAGCAAGTGAGTCATCAGGGACAGCTCATGAGTCAGATGATAATGCCACCTTATTGAAAGTTATCAATCTCTTTCTTGATTCATCACAATGCTACAATCTGGTGACAGCTGATGTTGCAGTGGTGAGTATCATGATTTGTTTATGAATATTAACATGTAGTAGGCAGCTATCAAACAGGGAGGTACTACCAACTGCGAAGATATTGGAAGCATAATGTATTGTCTAATGGTAGACCCTGCTGCCATATGTGACCAAGTCCCAGGTTGATGATCTGACTTTCTGCCTTAATTACACACAATTGTAGGGTCTCAATTGTTTCTTTTACTTTGACAACCTCGATGTGGGTCAGTGACCTGTGCCCGGGTGTACTAATACCTGTAAAAAAAAAAAAGAAAAAAAGTTGGTGTGCCAAAGTGTAGTGTAATTATGTATTTGTAAGGCATAATATTGATCGGGAGTAAATTAGGAAATTATTTTGCTTATCTTAATCTATATAACTATGTACAGCTCCTCCCCGACTTACGACCTACTCGACTTATGACCACCCGCACTTACTACCTGCCTCAGTCGTACCAAAATTTGGTCAAATTACGTATATTCGAGTTCCAAAGTCTGTACACAGACAAAATTTTTATCTGTAATTCACTTTAAAATGGCTGGCAAACTTAAAAGTGAGTGTTTTGTGGTGCTGATAAGAAAAGGAGACCCCCATTTTCGATTTTCTATGTGTTATTTAAGCATTTCCGACTTACGACCATTTCGACTTACGACCTGGATTTGGGTCCCTAACCCCGTCGTAAGTCGGGGAGCAGCTGTATAGTGTGACTCAAGCAGAGGGACTCATTCATGATTGGTAGATGCTTAGATGCTAATTGAAAAACCAATTGCTATATTTACGTTTTCCTTTTCCATTTCAGATCCTGAAGTTTGTTCGTACACTGTTTAGTGCAAAGTATGAGGAGGAAAACATTCAGGATGGATTTGAGATCCTGAGTAACTTATGCAAGAACCATGCCTCTGAATATCAGGTTGCAACATGTGTTCTTAAAACAATCGCAGGTTTGTGAACCACAACTCATGATACAGAAACAGTTATTTGATAACTTGTTTGATGACATTAATTTCTTCTTAAGGGAAGAACAGTTTGTGAACCTCCGTTTGGGGAATATAAATTTTCTTACCAATATTTTAGGGTTTCTCATAGTACTGTATTTTATGGCATATAAGACATCATGGCCACAACCATTTATGACCCACCCCCCTATTTTGGCAAGGATTATTTAGGAAACTTTTGGTGTATTTTCCTTCTGCAGTCACTGGGGATTCATTAGGTTATGGGAGATCGCAACTTCACATATAGGATGCAGGATGATTTTTTGAGCCATTTTTCAGACAAAAAACTGTGTCTTATATGCTGTAAAATATGGTAATTTAATTTATAATAATTACATTTAGAGCACATGGATGTGTAAAGTTATGATGCTGTGCTTACCCAACCAAGTTAGTCCTAGGATTCTGAACAGATTCCTAGCTTAGGTTAGGTTAGAGAGTACAGTCAGTTATGCTACAACGCGATAGTTGTGTTCTTATAAAACTTCGCGATGTAGAAATTCACGCAATATAATTAACAGGGCTTATGGAGAAAATAGGTTTAGGTGCAGATTACTCGAAATAAAAATTTTTTAGTAGCCTAGCACAAAGGATAGCATGGTCTAAATAAATGTTACTTTCATATGGGGGAGAAGGGTGATTTTGAGGTTGATAACATCGAGCTTCTCTTCAAGTGTTATAGCCTTTCTTTAACGATCATCACCGGGAATGCGATCACCAGAACGCTTCTTGGAGATATTCTTCTTTACCATAGTCACAGTTAATACCACAAAATTGGAGAAATATTAAGCTTCAAAACAAGCCACGTGTTTCAACTGATCGTGTGATGGAAACAGAGAGCGCGGGTGTAAAACGCTATTTTTTTTATCTTTTATTTAAAATTTGTCAATTTACATATATGTATACATAAATATTACATAAATTATTTCTGCAATTCTTAATGTTTAATATTAACTGTAGTGATAATAAGGATAAGAATACAGTGATCATGTAAAACTGTATTAGTCTGCACTGCAAAACATTATTTTTATTTATTTTTTTTCATACAGTATTTATGGGAACAGCTAAATTTGCAAAAAAGGATGAAATTTTTAGAGTCCCTATCAAATAACACTTCACAAACAAAACACATGAATCAATTGAACATGTGATGTCAAACGTGAAATGTAAGCACTGCATAACCCCGCGCCAAGCGACGGTACACTTAAAACGTTCGAGTGGAATCGTGTTACAGCCAACAAGCGTTTGCTTTTTATAAATATCATTCTTCTATTCATCAATCGCGTTATAGCCATCAGAGTATGGTCTGGTGGTGTGGACAAATTGACAGAATGGAAAGAAATTTTTTTATTTAAGAATTTATGATTAAGAGGTGGATATGAAGATGTGAAGACCAAGATGGAAGGATTAACTAGAGCTTGGGGGGGATGGATGTCAAGGAAGCTGAGGTCATGATGTCAAAGTGAGTTTTGGCATTGGATGGGCTTCTGGGTTATGTTAGGTTGTGTGAAACTACAATGGTAAACCAGGTACAGTGGTCCCTCGGTAAACGAACGCCTCGGTTAACAAAATTTCGGTTAACGAATTACCTTCCATAAGAATCTTCAATTCGGTTAACGAAAAAAAATTTGATTAACGAAATCCTTACGAAAATCACGTTTTGTTTTGAACATCAGCTGATAAGCTGAGGAGGTACTCAACCAATTCAGTAATCTCTTTTATGTTTACATTCGTTTCCATTGGAGTAAATATCAAGAAAATTGTGCTCTTTAATATTGTGCATTTTTTTTATACAGTATTAAAATTATTCGTCATTCTAAAATTTAGCCATCCAAGCTCTGTCGACATAAAGTTTTCAGCTAATATTTTTGGCTCATATATGTAACTTTATTCATTTATTGAAACTCATTTACATGCACACACTGTCCTAAGGGCAAAGCTGAACTGTACATGTAATCAGAATAATGTACAAAATGATTACTAAAATTTTTGTCTAGTGCAAACTATGGCATGTTTACATTCAAATTAATCACTATCTTATAAGAATTCCAGTAATGCAAATTAACTTCACCCCGGTCACCTCTATTAAATTTTATAAGCAAAAAACAAAAACTCAATCTAAAGGACATAAATTAACAATTAAATACTTCACACATCAGCACCAACTGTAAAACATGTCACTGTCACCCCTCCCTCCCCCTGCTTTCCCAAGAAAGGTTTGGGGGTTTTCACTAGGCTTACAGTTTTAATCTTATATAATATCTCAGACTAAAGTTAGGATAATATAATTTGCATTGCTGGAATCCTTGCAAGACAGCGAATAATTTGAATATAAACGTCATATATTTTGCACAAGAGATAAAATTAATCACCTTTATCACATTACGTGTACAGTAGTGATTTAAGAGTTCTAGTGTATATGTATGTATATATATACAGTATAGTGATTTAAGGGCGATTTAGGGGAATTTTAGGAGTGTTTCTGACTTTATGCATTTTTGGCTTTACTTTGTATATACTTTCCTGTGAGCTGGAACCAATTACCCAATATCCCATTGAAACAATGGTTTCAGTTAACGAACGACCTTCTGGAACGAATTGAGTTCGTTAACCGAGGGACCACTATATATATTTGAGGCTTTCTTTTGGAAGAGGAATAACATAGAACACGAGTCTAACTGTAGTAAGAAAGAATGATTTTCAGGAAATGAAGGAAAACTGTTGGTCTTAATTTTAGCCATGCCACCTTATACTGTAGTTAGCAAAGCTTTGAAGGGAAAAGAAAGTTCATTGTTCATACTGTTGACTATACCTGTATTTATTTGATTGTTTACTTTATTGATAATTTTTTCGTCAGGTCTCATCTCCGTGAATGGTACTCGCTTATCAGCTGCCCTACAGGGAAATGTTGTAAAGCTAACACGAGCCTTTGCTCAAAAGCATCAACAGGGAAATTATGGGCAAAGTGTCAGTGAAGCCATATTTGCTCTTAATGTTGAACTTAGTAAGGTATGTATCCAAAGTTATTTTGTTAGAACTTGAAAAGAGATGAATGTATACAGTATCAGTACTTGTTGTTTTCTTTTTTTTTGTCTTCTCTATTATTTTTTCCGTAACACGTGTAATAATCATTGTTATCTGTGTAGAGACCTTATATGCACCATGTGTTAGTACCTTCTAGCTGCCAATAAGAAGTAACAAACACTTCCTTCACCCCTCACTGTTATGTAATACAGCTAGACCCCGACTTACGACTGCTTCGACTTACGACCGTCGGGACTTACGACCGCCGCAGTTGTGACCATTTTTTTTTTTTCAATTTTTTTTTCTTTTCTCTCCAAATGACGCACGCATTTTTTATACCGAAACGTTTCCAGTTAATGTAGTCTCCATGTATAATTAGAAAATTATGGGGGCCCCATGTGCATTCAGCTGACTACATTAAAGGTAAGTGCACAGTCATGCTGTATCCATTCTTCATTCTTGATTACTTTTACTGTACTGTATTTCATTTTAGATTTTATATGTACAGTGAACCCTCACTTTACGCGGTCAATTGAACCCACGGCGGCCCACGTAAAGTGAGAAACGCGTAAAGTGAACAACATAACATATGGGATTAATTGAAATAGAGACCGGGCCGACCCCCAAACTCCACTTTTTCAGACACAATACCTACGTTGTAGTAAAAATAACTTCTTAATTTTATGATGGTATGCACACACAATTAATAATTAAGAGAAATTTCAATAATATTAGGTTTTTTAACACTTACATTAGTAGAAAAGATGGCTGGGCACACGGGGATGGGGGGTTGGTTCCGAGGCAGAGGGCAGATTATTGGCCCTCACCTGTATCACTTGTATCACTATCCACCACAGAGGCTTGCAGGGCCTCTTTGTCAAACCCCTCAAAGTCCATATAAGTTCATATCCTCATTATCATTATCACTATCACTGACTTGGGTGGCTGTGGTAGGTGGCGGGTGAAGAACTAGGTAATGTTTTGATGACTGGGCGACCTTGTGCGCACCCTGCTTGCGCCGCTCTCCGTGTAAAAGGGTACACACACCGCGGAAAGTGAGCATTCCGTGTTCGGCAGGGTACCGTGTAAACGTGGAAACGCGTAAAGTGGGACCGCGTAAAGCGAGGGTTGACTGTATTATTTTTTGCATTTTGAACTTACGATCTGGATTTGGGTCCCTAACCCTTCGTAAGTCAGGGAGTAGCTGTAGTTGGTCTTGTAGAGGAAACCCAAGGGTCCAGGAGCCTAACTTGTAATTCCCCATTTGGTTTTCATTTACCTGAGGTTTTTAAGGACCCTAATGCCCCATGTTACAGGATGGTTGCCTCTGATTAAACTTTATTAATATGTTTTTTGGTGTCATATTCATATTTTTAATAAGAAGACTGTATTACCAACCTTTTTTATCCAACATTTCTTAACTTTGTAAAACTTTATTCTTTACTACTTGATTGTCCAACTTTTTACAAGTCCACTCATCCACCCTGTATAAGAGATTTTACCTAGTTGTCATCAATGTTCAGTAACGATACTTGGATTAGCTATTCTCACATTTCTCTTTAGTCAAGAGTTTGTTATTCTAAACAGGCTCTTAATTCTATGCACTAATGTTTTAATATATTAAGCCCATAACCATAGCAAACACTGTACAGTAGTAACGTGCATTACAACTGCATAGATGAATGCAAGTCAAGTCTGCAGAGTAGCTGGTAGGGTGTGCTGCCGTGCAAAAGAACTTACAAAGTTCAATGCTCACTCAGGGAATTTTGAATTTATACTTTAGGTGTTATTGGACTTTAAAAGGGATGGATAATAGAAGTTTGACTGGACAATATGTTTTTTATTTCAGCCAAAAACTTTTCCTACATTACTGTATAACAGACCTCAGCTTTAATGGACACTGACCGGTTCAGACCAGGTTCACATATTATGGACTCGGGTTCATTAAAGTAAAAAATAACCGACTCAAAACCATTATGTTAAAGTAAAAATTTTTGGACGTATCCAAATTATGAGCAATAATTACAGTTATGCCCCGTTAATCCCTGCCCTGTATAGCACTGATTCATTATCGAGCTCTTTGGTCTTCTCCTCCAGTTATTTTTTAATAATAAAAAGATGATCCATAATACAAGGCAGAAGTTACAAGACACAACACTCAGGACAGTGGCCATGCTAGTTTACAGTCTCTCCACCAATGAGAGCAAAGCACCCATGTACACTCTCAGCCAATCAGTGCTCTCCTTGTGTATAAATTTCTCCTGGTAGCATTCAATTTACTTGACTCACTCACCCTTTATTTGACTGATTTCCACATGTTAAAGTGAATATTTATGACCCCAAGTTATTTTTTTACTAGAATATAAAATAAATTATGAAATCCATAATACTGTACATACAGGTCAGCTGTTCACCTGTACAACCAACCAGCACTGTAACCTGTTAGTAACGTTGTTTATTCTGCTAGTCTACAAGCTGCCACTCCATCTCCCCAGTTTGAATGCGTTCTCATCCTGTAAACACTGGTAGGTGATAGTGAGTGTTGGTGATGGTAGTGGTGAGTGTTGGTGGTGGTGGTTGGTGGTGGTGGTGTGTTGGTGGTGGTGGTTGGTGGTGGTGGTGTGTTGGTGGTGGTAGTGAGTGGTAGTGGTAAGTGGTGGTGGTGGTGGTGAAGGTGAGTGATGGTGTGGTGAGTGTTGGTGAAGATAAGTGATCCATGTGGTCACATTGGACTACTGTGTTGGTATATACTTGGTACAGTAACAGACTGACTCAGTCATTATTCTGGAATTGGATATAACAAACTTTTGGGTTAACGGACCCCCAGCTAGTCCGTTATGTCGGGGTTTACTGTAAATTATGGGTTAAGTTAATCAGGTTATCTTTACAGCAAGGAACTTTACTCCCTTTTTCCCATAAGCTCTTTACTACTCCATCTGTGGTGTGTTTTTAGTAATGTTACTCCTGCAAATTCTCAAGTTTTTCTGTGTGTGATCAACAACTCTTCATCTTCTTTCTGACACACTCATATATATGTATTAATCTGTAAGTCAACAGAAGGGTGAAGAATTTTTTTAGAAGTGTCTACCTTCTCAACTCACCTCATTAATACCATTGCAGGTGGATCCTAAACGTATGTGGTCTCGGTACATTATGTCAGAGAATGACCGTTGTGGAGAAGTTTATGACCTTCTATGTAGTCCAAGCCATGAATTACGCATGATGTCTGCATCTTCAATTCATGAGTTGTTGGTTAAGACTGATGGAACATTAATGGATTCTCAGCATCAAGATAAAATTTTTCGGGAGGTTTATCAAACTGCACTGGAGGCTTTAACAATACAGGTGAGTGTGTGTATGTGTGTGTGTGTGTGTGTGTGTGTGTGTGTGTGTGTGTGTGTGTGTGTGTGTGTGTGTGTGTGTGTGTGTGTTTCAAGCATCATACTCTCATTAAACTGTAAGTTAATTTCAAAACACTTATTATTTCTTTCCTCTTAAATAAGAATTCAGAACAATTTGATTGTTTTGTATTCTGTATTATTATATCAATGTACTCTATCATCATCCTCATGAGTATTTTATGGTCATTTTCTTCACTTGTGTGAGTTAGTGAGTTAGCTGAGGGCAACTCTTCTTGCTCCACAGTCTCTTGTTAGAATCTTAATTCTGTTATCATTTCTTACAACTTCTCTCCATGTTCTGGGTTCGGGATTGACGGTTAATCCGAAAGTCGGTTAATAGAGGGTCGGTTAATCGAGGTTTTACTGTAGTAGCATTGGGGAGGCTGGAGGCCATTTAAAAAAAAAAATGTGATACTACCCACAGTGTGAAGACCTGACTGAATCGGAGGTCCGAGCTAATGTGGAAGATTAATGAGATAAAGCATGAATCATGACCTGACTGAATTATTCACAATAGGCAAACTGTACTGCCAGCTTTGTCAATAAATTTGATAAACTAAAAAAAAAAAGGGTAGTAGTAGTACAGTAAAACCTCGATTAACCGACCTCGACAATGACTTTTGGATTAGCCAATCCTAACCCTAAAAATTTTTTACAGGATTATCCCACCGGGCACAGGTCACTGACCCACATCGAGGCTTGGGGGCGATAATGTAATAATACTAATAATGATAATGCTAATACAGTAATAATAATAATAATACCGTAGTAATAAAGAATCATAAAGAAATGCAAAAATTAAAAAAAAATCAAGAGTGAGAAACAATGTACCTGTATGTATGTTGTGTGTTCAATAATAAGAGAAACAATTGAGATCCTGCAATTGTGTGTAAATGAGGCAGAAAGTCAGATCATCAACCTGGGACTTGGCCACAATTTTTGGGATGACATGTTCTTTGACTTTTCCACTTTTTATTCACGATTTCTGTGCTGGTTCATATTTATTTACAAAAGTGGTTTATGTTTTAAAGCAATTCTATTGAAATATGAATGGCAAATAAACAAAAATGAATAGAGGGACTTAAATGAGGTAGGTTAGGGAAAGGTAATTTGAAAATGTGTTTTATTTCTGTAGACTTTATGTACTATTAACCGACCTTTTCGATTATCCGTCGGCCCCTTCCCCCTATATGTGGTCGGTTAATCGAGGTTTTACTGTACAGGTTGTACCTCTCTAATCCGGCAACCTCGGGACCTGACCGGTGCCGGACCATGGAAATTCACCCTTTTCCTGGATAGATAGTGACTTGTGCTTATGCTTAGAAGCACTAGCACCACTTTCTCTGCATCATGGTCTCTTTGAAGACATATTGAAGGGTTAAATGTCATATAGTAGCTTCTCAAATTTCGCGAGTGTTTAATTCTTAACGTATTTTATTGGAACACACAAAAAAATAAATAAATAAAAATTTTGATGGCGGAAACTTGAATTTCGACGGGTTTGAACGGCCCTCCAACGTGCAGACGACGTGCACTGTCACTATGCACTTGCACTGTCACTATGTTGAAATGAACTGTAGTTTGAGCTTTTCCCCATCTAGTTATTATATGTCTTATTTGTATCACTTATTTTACTTGTATATTATTTGTAATTCGTAACCCATTCCCCAAATATGTAACTGTATATTTTCAGCCTTCTGGCTGCCAAGCTCTTTCAATAAACCGTTAATTATTATTATTATTATTATTATTATAATCGTGTAAACAGCGTCATTTCTCTTATGCACAAAAGATTCATTATTGTTCATTACTGAATGTCTTTTTTATTGAATTAATGTTTATGCGTGCAAAATGAGCAATACAATTCATTAATAATACGTAGAATATTAAAACACACGAAGAAATGACACAGCATTGTTTTCGTTGATTACAAAACCAGTGACTGACTGGTTCTACATATAAAACTGAAGAAAATAAGACCTTGGCTGTAGCTGTAGTAAAATTAATATGGTTGTTTTAAGTAATGTTATTTAATGTTAATAAATGGAACAATAGAAGTAGGTAACGATAATGGTAAAGAAAAAAGAGAGATTGTGTATGTAAGTGCGCACAAGTGAAAACATATCGTCATTACTTTACATAAGAATATGAAAGCAACACTAATTTACCATTCATATATATTTTAATTAATGTTTCTGAATTTTTTTATTGAATTAATGTTTGTGTGTGCAAAATAAACAATACAATTCATTAATAATACGTGGAATATTAACACGAGGAGACGAGACGGCTGCCGGCATTGTTTTCGTTAATGCTTACAAAACCAGTGACTGATTGGTTCTACATATAAAACTGAAGAAAATAAGACCCTGAGTTTAGCTGTAGTAAATTTAATGTAAAAAATGAATATGGTTGTTGAAGTACCTGAAATGTTATTTAATGTTAATAAATGGAACAATATAAGTCGCTAACCATTAATGGTAAAAAAAAAAAAGTGAGACTGCGCGTATGTAAATCGTCATTACTCTACATAAGAATATGAAAGCAACACTTATTTACTGCTCATATATATTGAAGGGTTAAATGTTGTACTCTGTATAGACAAGCAGAGAGAGAGAGAGAGAGAGCAGCCGAACTGCCGGATGTAAACAAACCTTAATTTCCTGCGTTTTTTTTATTTTTTTATGGAGATTAGCCCACCCGGGCATAGGTCACTGACCCACATTGGGGCCTGAGGGGCAAAAATTTAATACTCCTGTAATAATAATAATAATTCAGATATAAAAAAAAAAAAAAAGCTGCCTATCTACCTATTGGACAAACTAAAATCGTTCCGGACCACGGGAGTTTCCGGACCACAGAATGCCGGACTAGAGAGGTACAACCTGTACTACTACTACTACTACTATTATTATTATTATTATTATTATTATTATTATTATTATTATTATTATTATTATTGTAAATAAAATATATTGAAGGAAATAGATAAACTAACTACAGTTTTTGGGAGCATTTCCTTTATTTGTAATGGGATAAATAAAATTGATTTACTTGTTTTTTATTTAAACGGCCATTCTCAAGAACGCAATTGTAGTGTTAATCCAGAGATGGCTGTACATATTGATTTATTTAATTTTTTTTATTGGTGTTACTTTTATAAACGGTATGCGTCACATTTACTGGTACAGTATATTATTTTATCTTAATCCTCATAGGAGTTGGTAACAGTTTCAGAGTTGGTAAAATTGTTCATAGTGTCGGCTGTTGTGGTCACAGCCAAGACTCGTTGGTGTGAACCTGGTGTCTTGCTACAAATTATATCTTGGATTATACCTAGTATTTTTCAAAAGTTAGGGTTGAATTATGTAAGAAAAACTCAGGATTTTTTACAAAAAAATTAAGGGATTCAACTACTGTATATGTGAGATCGGTTTATACGCAAATATATATGGTACGCAGTTTCTGCTTGACCTACTTTTTTTTCTTTCCCTACATGTTAATAGGGAACAGTTGCAGAGGACTTCAAAACTGATGAAAGCATTAACAGAGTGGCAAGCTTTCTTCTTACTTTAGGAATAATAGCTCTAAATTCTCCATACTTGGAAGCCAAAGCTCTCTTTGCTCTCTGCCTAGTTGTCCCAGATCATGGAGTTGACGCATCACTTGTATCAAGGCTCATAAGCAGGTATGTGTCTTGTATGTTAATAGACAATTTTTTTTATACTTAGTGGTTAACAATAGTATAGCATGCCCCTAAATTTATTGCTGCGAATAGCTAAATCCGCAAATAACGAGGTGTAAAGATCAATCCACTACTTCTAAAATGATCCATGCTAGTATATTATGTGTTTATCCTTAACAGTTTTAGATCAGTAGGTGTGTGAACCAATATAAATAGAATGAAATAAGGTTTGTTATCTAGTTATAAAAAAAATCTGTATGGATGTGACTCTAAGACAATTTTAAGTTCACATTTGTCAGAGCTGTTCCAATAATATTTGTTTCTCATTGTAGAGTGGCAGTCTCCAGAGGCTCTTCACTGAAGGAGCTGATGCATCGCCATTTACCATACCTGGTAACACAGTGGCTTCAGCATAATCATGATATTGCAGACTTTCCTGTTAGTATTTTAGAATACACCAGTAAGGAAGACTTCCTCAATGAGAATAGGAATGTTCTACTCCCAGTTCTGTTTGAGTGCAATCAGAATGATAACACTGATTTGTTGGCACAGAGTTTGGGCAGAAACGTCTCCGAACTCTTGCAAACAAATTTCCCAAAACTCATGGCCCACATTTTCCCATATATTGCTGCTGAATGTGATGAAGTGTTCCTCAGTCAATTATCAAAAGTAAAGGTATGCATACTTTTCTAAGTTTTCTTCATATATATATATATATATATATATATATATATATATATATATATATATATATATATAGTATATATATATATATATATATATATATATATATATATATATATATATATATATATATATATATATATATATATATATATATATATATATATATATATATATATATATATATATATACACACAGTATATATATATCTTGATAAAATCACATATAAGAAACAATGGATATAGTGATTTTATCAAGATTTATCTTATCCACTTTTTCATTGTGGATCTATGTATATATATATATATATATATATATATATATATATATATATATATATATATATATATATATATATATATATATATATATATATATATATATATATATATATATATATATATATATATATATATATATATATATATATATATATATAATTTCTTAAACAAATTGAGTGAAATGTACATTTGAGGTAGATATAAACTTTATATAGAATGGGGGAACTTGTCTGAGCTGGATATTTTGGAATGTACTATACAATTGAAGTTTTAGATGTTATCTTAATACACAGGGGTGAATGTTTAATAACAATGTTAAGGTATCATACTTAAAATTCTGTATATCCAATTAGTCCAGGTGGGGATTATTACACTGCACTAGAATACTTAGTTAAAGCAAGACTTTTATTACTACCTGTGTGAAATGTGATAGATGATCATTTAATATTCAGTACTATTTCAAAACTATATACACTGTATTGGCATTTTTTTTATTTTTTATTAATAGAAATACTGTACAGGTATATCCTGATTTACGATCTCTCTATATATGATATTTTGCTTGATCGAAGGTGATGTATCAAGACCACCCACCTATTTATGATAAAAAGAATTCGCATGAACGATGGTCACCATTTAACCAAAATTGCTGATGCGTGGAACATGGAATACTGCACTTGTCAGCTGCTGTCTACCCACACACTGCTATGCGGCCACCTGGTTCACTTCAGTTCAAAGCAACAATGCCTGGACTGTAGTTCACCAGATGGCCACAAGGCAGCGTTTGCGTAGGTGACTCCTCAGGTGACAAATGAAGTGTAGTGATGCGTTCCATATGGCGAGTTGGTAGGACGATGAATATCATTAATCTAAGTTTGTTTACATTACATATACGGGAGTAGTCTTAATATGTCAGCATCGTTAATGTGAATTATCGTAGATTGGGAGATCGTATAAAGAGATTTAACTATACATAAGCTGAACAAACGTGAACTTTGAGTCAAGAAAAGCCCTGGCATATTGATCTTTTCCAGGGGAATAAACCGGTACTGTACCTTCCTGCAGGTGACAGATTCATAAACAGCCATTAAAGGAGATATTGTGTTGACTAGAGAGAAATGAAAACAGACTTCCATGTTTTTCTTTTTAGAATCTCTTCTTTGGTATTACAGTACTTACCTTTTGTCAGAAATTTCAAATGTTGTTTCACATTAAACTTTGTTATCCCACAGATCCAAGCTGCTAAAAGACAATATGTACTACTTAAGAAAACTCTTGGAGAAGGAAACTTCATCAATATGATAGAGAAACATGTTGGTGACATGATGCTTTCCTTAGTGAAGTTGGTACATAACCCTCAACCCATGGTGGAGGAAGAAGTGATTGTTGAACCAAACCCTCCTCACTTTCCTCCAGCTGTGATAGACAGCACTTTGAAGTTTTTAGGGGAAAGGTTTGGAGAGGTTAGTAGACATTACAAATCTGTCATTGTTTTTTGTTTGATATATCTAAATAAAGTCTATTCCTTGTCTTTGAGCAAGACTTGCTTGAGAATTGAAAGTTTTTATGAAAACTGAACAAAATTTGAGAAACATTATAATGAAACTATTTGGTTAACTATTCCTTATATGTTGTTCACTGTTGTAAGAGCAGGATCTCCCTCACTAAACACAGGTAATTTCATAATCATGCACATATTTTATACTATGTCATGCATCACAAGTTTTCATCCCTACTCTATCCTTAATCTTATGTTATGTTTCTATGGTGGAGGCTACTATAAGGTACCATAACTTTTAACATATTCAGGCTGTGTACCTCTGAAGAATGAGAATTAAACATACTTATTGGAGGTCTGAGCAGAAGGTAGAAGGGTAGGTAAAGGAAGCTACAGTTGTCTCCACATGAACGTACCACAGCCTTGGAGTGTGTAAGGGGTAGGGTACGAAATGTGGCAACACAGTGTCAGAGTCGGGGCTGAATAAATGGGCGTGAAACGGTGAAATTACCTGTTTGTGATAAGATTCAAACAATAGAGGAAGTAAACATACAGTTTCCTCAAAGAGTGGTCCTTTATCTGCTGTGATGATGTTTATGGTTAATATCTCAATACTAGAGTAAACTTATGAAAGAATCCATAGTAGTCTTTTAATGATGAAGCTGGTTGGTGGAAAATATCCCTAGTCGTAATTTTGCTTGGCAATGTAAACTCAGTGTAAACAATACACACATAGGTGTTTCTCATAAGGAAAATACCTATATGAGTGATAAGACTTTTTAAAATAAAACATATATGAAGAAATCCCAGTAAATAATGATCATAATTAATATGTACCAGCCAGCGGTGGGGATCATCATCACTGGTGTGCTCAGAACCGTCCTGAAATACCAAATTTGGGTTGAGGAGCGTTAGATATTCAACACAATAGAATGGCGGTGGGGTAACTCTTACAATTTTACTTTTCTGGGGCAGGGTGCTCCCTCCTCCCCCCATCTCCTGATGTCCAGCACCAAACTTGTCCACCAATCAGCTCCATTGTCACAAGACTGCTAGCATTTCATTCATAAATTTGTTATTACGACCCTCCCACATTTACATAAATATCACCACATAGGATAAAGGAACTTTAAGGCAACTGTGCCCTGTAATATGTTATGTAGCAGTGTTGTGTAGCCACGACTGAGTGACTTGGGCCTGAACTACGGGGAACCGGCACGCAAGGTAATCCACGGTTTCATGCCCATGACCAGTGTTGTACGTTGACGCCGTTAATTTAATGCCGTCAATGGACGGCGGCAACTTTTTGTTAACGCTGACGCCATCAATTTTTTGGGCAGGTAACGCTACAGGTGACGCAGTCAACTTTTCACCCGAGCAAAGCGCCAAGCGTCAATTTGTTTGTCAACTTCTGAAATTTTTTATTTTTCCAAGTTCAATTTTCAATTATCTTGTTATAAAGACGACCAGGAAAAATTTTGCCGCGCCCGCCGCCCTACTTTCGACAAGGACACCTTCCCCAACAAGGCCATGAGGGAGTTGTTCATCAAATACAACACTCCCACCCCCCTCTAGTGCTGCCGTGGAGCGCATGTTCTCCATGGACAAGGACATCTTGAGGCCCAAGCACAGCAGAATGAGCGACAACTGTGTCGACAATTCTTGCACAGAAAGACAAATTCAAGGAAGTGAAAGTGAGACAAATCTACCATAATGTTTAAAGGTAGATCCCTAATTGCAGAAACAGAGATGTTACTTCTCATCTGGATTAGGGAAAACAGATGAAAGGTGATTCAGTTTCTACTGAATTTATTTGTGAAAGAGCCAGGGAAATATACGAACATTTAAAGACAGATCAACCTGGTTCTTGAGGCACAGAATTTGAAGACTTTAGGGCCAGCAAAGGCTGGTTCAAAAAATTTAAGAAAAGAAGTGACATATTTAGTGTAGTTAGGCATGGTGAGGCTGCTAGTGCTGATAAGGAAGGGGCTGCAAAGTTTTTAGTGGAGTTTAAAGAACTGGTGGATGAAGAAAATTATCTTCCACAGCAAGTGTTCAATGTGGACAAAACTGGGCTGTTTTGGAAAAAGATGCCCAAAAGAACATTCATCACCAGAGATGAAGCCTCTTTACCTGGGCATAAACCCATGAAAGACCGTCTCATTCTATTGTTTGGTGCCAATGCTTCAGGGAATTTCCGACTGAAGCCTATCAGGTGTTGGTAAACAAGATCATGATAGATTTCTTTCATTGCTGTAAGAGTGAGTGACTGTCGAGTGTGATACATGTTACCACACTGTTTATTGACTTTACTGTGAATGGCGTGTATGTGGTTTCTCCAGTTAAGTTTCTCATCAACAATAACTCCGAGGAATTTAGTATTTTGTTCACATTTGAGGACTGTATAATCAAGGTATAGGGGGTCCAAGTCTGGGGGTAAGTTTTTCCTTCTGTGATAGATCATGTAGTGGATTTTCTCAAGGTTTAAGGTCAGTTTATTACATATTACCCAGGTCCTGACGTTAGTCAATTCAGTGTTCATAGTTCTCATCAAGGAATGGAGGTCTGAGTTGCTGGCATAGAGATTACTATCGTCTGCAAATAAGTTGTATTTTATGAGTGAGCTGGCGTGGACTAAATCGTTTATGTACGACAAAAACAGTACTGGACCGAGAATGGAACCTTGGGGGACGCCATACAAGATTGGCGAGGAGTCAGATTGGTGATTATTATAGCAGACACACTGCATCCTGTTGGACAGATATGAGGTAAACCAGTTGTGGGACAGGTCCCTAATGCTGTAATGTTCAAGCTTTGAAAGGAGGATGGTATGGTTGAAGGCTTTCGAGAGGTCCAAGAATATACCGACTGTGACCTGACTGTCATCAAAAGAGTTTAAAATGTCATTATTAAAGGATAGCAGAGCACTCTCAGTCGACCTTCTAGTTCTAAATCCAAACTGGGAGTCTGTAAAGATGTCATTGGCATTGCAAAAGGAATTTAGTCAACTACATGCTAGCTTCTCCAGTATTTTACTCAAGGCTGGGAGGACTGATATAGGGCGGTACTTCTTGAAGAGACTTTTGTCCCCAGATTTTTTATATGCCGGGTGAACTTTAGCAATTTTCAGTTTATCCAGAAAGACACCACTAGTGAAGGAGGAGTTACAAATGTGTAGGAGAACAGGTAGTAATAAGTGGGCTACTTTCTTAATGATGCTCATTGGTATATTGTCTTTGCCTACTGCTGCATCTATGGACATTTTTATGATGGCCAGTAATTCATCAGCTGTGACTGGGGATAAGAACAGCTCATTTTGCTGTCTGTTTTGCAGGTAGGCTCTAAATTCCTCATGGTGATCATGGATGTTCTCTGCAAGATTTTTGCCATCATTAATAAAATATTCATTGAAGTGGTTGGCAATGAGGGAGGTTTCCGTTACAACTGAATCATTTATCATAAAAGCTTAGTGGGGGGCCGAAGGCTGAGTGTTCCTGTTCTGAATAGAATTTGTGACATTCCAGGTTTTCTTACCGTCGCCTGATGCTGACTGGAGTTTATTTGTATAATATTTATGTCTGGCATTTCTAACTGCTCGAGTTACTCTTTTTCTGATACAGTACAGGACTGTTTTTATCAATAAATGTACAATCTCCTTTAGTTTTCTTCTCTCTCACACTCAACTTATTGGCTCACTGTAAAAGTTTATTTTCTTGTAGTTTGCTGGACTCATGGAAACTGATACTGATATACACTGTGGTAGGGGTTGTTTGGGACTGGTGCATGGATTCTCCCCCATCAAATCTGAGTTTTGTAGGACCTTTTTTTATATTTTACATTAAAAGTCAGGAAAAAGTTCATTTAAGAAAAATGCCTCAGTCTTCATTGTTTTCCTTTTCTGATTTTTATATTTGTTCCATTTGCATGTTCATTGATTAGACACTCAATTTTGATGCTGCATGTAAACTGAAAGCTAATGAGAAGTTCTAGCACAAGTTTTCTGAACACATTGGAAATATACAGTACGTACATAAATATGAATAAATAACTGCAATAATTACTCTTTTTTTTATATATCTAGGATTGCCCTTTGGTTGCTGTTTTGGCATCAAGAAAAGTTGAACTACATAAAGTGCTTCAGGGTGTTCTAGAATACTTGGCAGGAAGCACTGATCTCTACACCTTTCGTCTTGCTCTGTCATCTGTGGCTGCTGTTGTCCGCTCAATATTGCCACATTTAAAAGAAAAACTGAAGTCTGTGTCTGCCTACATCATCCGAATCTTGGTACATTGTCTTACATGTTACACCTCTTCAATCCTGGAAAAGGCTCCATATTTGGCAGGTATGTAGAGTATGATAAAAGACTAAGAATAAAGAGGTTGAGCTTATGAAACAGCTTTTGTTGCCAGAGATAGGAATAAGCATTCTTTTTTTTTTTAAAGGAGTTTGAAGATCATGACCCATGGAGAGAGTTTTCCCAGTGTGCAGCTTGAAGTTGCCTGCCACTTTCAGATCAAGAGAGTGAACTCTCCTCTCAAAACAGAGTGTAATGATATGGATTAGTTATGTTAACCCTTAAGACTAGGGAGAGGTGCATGTAATCCCCTTCCAGTTGGGGGGTAAAATAATGTAACAACATTACTGTATACAATGATTACATACACATTTGTGTTATGCCTCCGGCTGTGTGTTGGGATGTAGGTGATATGCCCCAGGAGTTATAGGTTTAAATGATTGCCTGAAGTATGAATGGATGAAACAGTGCAACTAAAATATTTTAAGCTTGAAGGTTTGAAATTTCTCGTAAATTTACTGATTTACCCATATTTTGTATGTTAAGTCCTTGCCGGTGATTATAAAAAGAATATATACAGTAAACACCCCAAGCACCAGACACCTGAATAATGACATGAATCGTGGGGAAAAAATTATTTAAAAACTCAAAACAATGTCTTGGTATCTTGCGGGTCATTGTTGTTGTTGTGGAGCGGCTCAGCTCAGGCCGCATCACAACACAGATTAATGAAGGAGAAGAACATATTCCTTTTACTCATTGTTAAGTCAACCTATAATTCAATGCAGCTTTTGAGAAATACTTGGTATAATCCTAGACATGTATAACTTGTAGCAAAACAACACCAACGAGTCTTGACTGTGACCACCACCACAACAGCTGATGCTATGAACAGTGTTATCACGAACAGTGTTACCACTTCTGAAACTAATTTCCCTCCAGTTACCAACTCCTATGTGAAGTAAGATAAAATATTATACATACTACCAATAAATGTGAGGAATAATTAAAAATAATACCAATAAATAAGAAAATACTATACAGTATTGTACTGTATTGCCATTTGGCTGCTGGACAATGAAATTTGTCAAACGTTTCACTACATAAGAGAGACAGCTCAGAATAGCCGAGATCCCTCACTTCCCTCTCCACTGCTTAATGTGAACTCTTAACACAAAGAAGGTTTATTCCCTTTTATGTTTTTGACTGATAATTTATTTATTTTTATATTCTACGTGTAATATTGTGTGTGCATGTAACCCGGTAAAAAATGCAGACTATACTGTATCACCTGATATTACGAGTTTAAAAATAACCATAACATATCTGACAGCTTGGCCTGGAGTGGTAGGGAGAGAGCTAGGGGGATATGGCTATAGTGGCTATATAAAATACTGTACTGATAACAAGTCCCCCAAAAACCTAAGGAATATTATCACAGGTGTACAGTAATGGCCTACATGGTAAAACAAATTAAGGGTGAAACAAACTCTCAACTCTCTGTATCTTCCTTCCCAGCATTCATAAGCTATAGCACATATCTTTCTTATGTTATTAATAATTTTACTACATCAAACAACATTTGTATACTGTACTATCTAGATGAAAAAATACAGCTAAAACTATTAAGGAAAGGTAAATGATTGTTTAATACATCCACCATTTGCATATACAGTAGGGTCGAGATATATCGCGAGATAGGGTCCAACGATGTTCGCTATATACTAAATCGCTATATATATATAATTACATGTAATCAATGGGGAAAATGGGGTTAGGTTCTGGCTGCCACTAAAAGTGAATAAACTTGACTTAACGAGTTTATTTTCTTACTAACACTGGACTCGGGAACAACAGGCTGTTTCAATATCAATATCAAGGAACACCAGACTCGGCAGCTGACGCACCATCACCACACTGCCACCCTCGCTTGACAATCCCAGCCTACATAAACCAACAAACCAAAAATGTTACTTACAGTATTAAATCATTTCCATTAAGCTTTCCATTTTCCTCACTTCACTTTTCATGTCACTAGCAACCCATTTACACTCACCCTAGAAGTCGTAATCTGCAGCAGTCGGCTGCTTACTTGTCACTCACTCAGAAAGACCGAGCGGGCGAGAGTGGGTGGGCGGTCTCGGTGGCGCCCCTGGTGAGCAAATAACGCATTTATTTGCCATGGCGGTACATTTGAAATATTTCCTGCCCAATTTCCTTTGCAAAATAAATGAAGTATCGCTATACAGCTCCTCCCCGACTTACGACCTACTCGACTTACGACCGCCCGCACTTACGACCTGTCTCGGTCGTACCAAAATTTTGTCAAATTACGTATTTTCGAGTCCCAACGTCGGTGCACAGACAAAATTTTTGTTTGTAATTCACTTTAAAATGGCTGGCAAGCTTAAAAGTGAGAGTTTTGTGCTGCTGAGAAGAAAAAGAGACACCCATTTTAGATTTTCTATGTATTATTTATGCATTTTCTACTTGCTGTACGACCATATCGACTTACGACCTGGATTTGGGTCCTTACCCCTGTTGTAAGTCGGGGAGGAGCTGTATATAGAAAAATTTCGATAATTTTGGTAGTCGCGATATAAAAAAGATCTTTATAAAAAGTTGCTATACAGTAGTCCCTCGGTTAACGAACGGTTCGAGTAATGAAATTTCAGTTAACGAATTACCTCCCATAAGGATCTTCAATTCGGTTAACGAACAAAACTTTGATTAACGAAATCCTTCGACAAACACGTTTTGTTGTGAGCATCAGCTGATGGGCTGATGGGATAGTCCACCAATTCAGTAATCTGTTCTATGTTTACATTCGTTTTCAGTGGAGTAAATATCAAGAAAATTGTGTTCTTTAATATTTGTGTATTTTTTATATTAAAATTATTGGTCATTCTAAAATTTAGCCATCCAAGCTCTGTCTACATAAAGTTTTTCAACTAATATCTTTGACTCATTTATTGAAACTCATTTACATGCACACACTGTCCTAAGGACAAAGCTGAACTGTACATGTAATCAGAATAATGTACAAAATGATAACTAAAATTTTTGTCTTGTGCAAACTATGGCATGTTTACATTCAAATTAATCACTATCTTATAAGAATTCCAGCAATGTAAATTATATTCTCCCAGGTCACTTCTATGACATTTTATAAGCAAAAAACAAAAACTCAATCTAAAGGACATAAATAGACAAATAAATACTTCACTAGACCTTCGGCGCCAACTGTCAAACATGTCACCCCCTCCCAGCAAGGGTTTGGTGGTTATACAGTAAGCTTTAAGTTTTTATCTTATATAATATCACAGACTGAAATTAGGAGAATATAATTTGCATTCTGAAATCCTTGCAAGACAGTGAATAATTTGAATATACACGTCATATATTTTGCACAAGAGATAAAAATTAATCACCTGTATCACATTACAGTAGTGATTTAAGAGTAAAAGTGTATATGTATGTATATATATATATATATTTCATGTAGATCCACAATGAAAACGTTGATAAGATAAATCTTGATAAAATCACACAGGGAAAAGGAAAACAATGGAGCACCTTAGCTTTCGTCTTTATCCAAGACATCTTCAGAGGCAACTGAATTACATGGATGGAGAAAGGCTTAAGAATACACAGGGTGACCTTATTAAGCATGAGTTGAGGTCATAATGATGACATCCACTAATCCACACACCAACACACACACAGAGGAGCTTAAGAGAAAGAGCGACGTGACTAGTCATGTTAAGTCAGGTAAAAAATATGGGACCCACTAATCATCTATCCTACATCTAACTCAAATGCTTTCAAAGCATTTTTAACCTTGGGCCACTGACATAAATTTGTGTAACATATTATCAGTTTTGTACAGACCTTCACTAAGGTTTATGGAATTTAATTCCCTAATCAAACTAGCTTCAACCAGAAGTCTTTCTGTGACACATGATGATTTGTACACTTCTAAGCTGTTTTCCCAATCTATGGGATGATTATTATTCCTAACATGAACGAACAGAGCACTGCTTTCAGATGCTGTTCTAATATTGTACTTGTGCTGTTTAATTCTGAATTGCAATGCTTTCCCAGTCTGTCCTACATAATTTCCATTACAGTTGCTGCATGGAATACAATAAACACTTTTATTTACATTCAAAGTAGGGCTATTCTTGATTAATATATTGGTAATGGTTGAGCCATACCAATTACCCAAAATCCCATTAAAACAATGGTTTCGGTTAATGAAATTTTTGGTTAACGAACGACCTTCTGGAACAATTTGTGTTCGTTAACCGAGGGACCACTGTGTGTGTGTGTGTATATATATATATATACCGGTACACCTGCATTTATATATTTCTCTTTTTTTCTTCAGATTATTGCAATAGCATCTTACAGACGGTGTGCTGCTGTGCCTTACAACATTGCCCTGGATCGTTTATATCAGTCATTCCATCTCTCTTTGCACGGTAAATGCTTTGTTTCTCGGAAGTCGTACTACCTTTAGTATTAGAATCTATATTAGGGATAATTGTGCAATTTTGTATAGTCAGTAAGTCTAGTGGTTGAAAGGTTGAAGCCTTGAGGCCTCAACTTGTGACTGGTATATAAGAATCAAGTACAGTTTGTTGTTGGTAGCTGTAACAGAGGTGCTCAGCTATGTATAGAGTATGGTAGCATAATGAAAAATCAAATTAAGGTGTAGTACATACAGAAGTCCTTGATACTTAGAGGTTTGGTTGTACACCAAACAATAAGAAAGTAATTTATTGAATTGCAGAACAAATAGAGAAACTGGGTGTTGGTTTCTGGACTTTCCAACCCATCTCTACCTCACCAGATGCTCACATTGTTAATTAATTTTGCATTATGTACAGTTTTTAAATTATGTAGATCGATTCCGGTTTAACTCCCTAACACTGTACTCAGTGTTTTGGCACATGTAGTATGGTATTCAGTACAGTAATTAGAAACAAGTAAAAGTAAATATGAATTTTGTGTTGTATCCTCTGTTATTTGCTTCCTAAGCACCTTGGAGTCTTTCCTCACTGTGAATCACATCAAACTTGTGTAGTTGCAAATGCATGGGGTTAAATTAGGTTTTTCTGTGTTATCAGATTCATAGGGTGTACATAACAACTGAGGGAGTCCTATATTACAAGTAATAATAAATTTGCTGTCGGGGGATGAACTTGGTGGTGTTGTGGGACACTGCGTTGTATGGAGAAAAGGTAAACCAAGTGGATATCTAGAAGTCTTCTTGTAGAAGGGGACCACTATAGTAGAATACATCTGGTGAAGCAGGTAGAGAGAATAAGTGGCAGCCAGTCTGTGTGTAGGGCTTGAAAGAATAAATAAAGATAGGTGTGGTGTTACAGTATGGTCGTGGATACTTACATAATGAGAACAAATACTTTAATAGGGTTTGTCATGTAACTGTTAGATAAAAGTTATATTGCCAACACACACACACACACACACACACACATATACATGCATACATACATACATACATACATACATACATACATATACAGTATATATACAGTACAGCTACTCCTTGACTTACGACATAATCGACCTACGATCACACGCGTCGGCATGCCTCAAGGCAAGCCTGCCTCACCCAATGACGTCATCTTCTGCATAAATAATCGTTTCTTTGGGACACACGTAACATATTTAGACTGAGAAACGATCTACAATAACTTTAAATTTAATAATAGTCCCTTAACTTCATGAATCTTGCCTACATTAATTCGATAAAGTACATTTAATTTCATATAGGCCTTGTTCAAAATGCTTCCACCGCGCTTGGGGGCGTTGCCTGCGCTTATTTGACTCGCCATGAGGTATGGGGGGTTTCACCCTGGCCTACTTATGTTTTCTTGTTTCTCAGATCGGTTATTTTTGTTCTGACGTCTCTAAATGTCATACCGAAATTTCTGACTATTACAGACTAAGGAGAAGTACAAAACAAGGTGTATATATACAGAGGAGGGTGAGATCAAGTCCACAATGGTCAGGTATTAGGTAATGACCCTACTAATCTTCAAAAAAGCACCGCAGCAGTCGGTAGTCAGGTCAGAGGGTAAGATGACCCAACCTTCTCACCTGGTTACAAATCTTCTTAATTACAAAATTATCCAGTTTGTACGTACCATTACTCAAATTCATGTTGACTGATTCGGTATGTTTAATGAGACTAGATTCTATAATGTTCCTACTGTCAATTGAATTACAAGGTAATATTGAGGAGGCATTATCCCAGTCAACGCAATGCTTATTAACCCTCAAATGAACAAACAGAGCATTGGATTCCTGGCCTGTCCTAACACTATATTTATGTTGTTTAAGTGTTAGGATAGTGTTTGGAACCATTCTTGCACAAACCTTTGTCATGTATACAATTCTTCTGTTACAATGCGTCGAACACTTTCCTCGTCTAAATTAACTTTCTCAGCTATTGCTCGAACACCCAACCTACGTATTTTTCTAATCACATCTCGCACTTTTTCAATGTTGTCATCGGTAACTGCTGTGCGTGGACGGCCTGGGCGGTCATCATCTTTCTCGGTTTCTCTGCCTTCCAAAAATCGTTTGTGCTATTCAAAAACTCGTGCCCCCGACATGCAATCTTCACCGTAAGCCTTGGTCAATAATAGAAAAGTTTCCGTCTGGGATTTCTTAAGTTTAACGAGAAACTTGATTTTAACTCGTTGCTCAGTTTTGCAGTCCGACATTTTCCGACCGAGCGTAAGAACACGTCTATACTTCAACACGCGTCCATTTGTACCGAGTGAAGCGATCGAGTTGAGCCTTGTCACACTGACAGGTTAGAACATGTCCATAACCATCTGTTTGTCCCTCCCCTCCCTCTCTTGGCTCCCGAGTTATAGGGTGTCTCGTTATTTTTGTGTCGGACCTCGTATTTATTTGGAATTGATACAGTGAAATGGGCAGACACAGGTAAACAGTAGTAGTTGGAATAATATTAGCTGCAACATTTGAGGAGTACAGAATTGAAGTGTCAATTAAATCTGCTCTAACAATGCTATAATGTGCCACCTTAATAGTTTCACTGGTTCCATAGTAATGGTAGTTTGAAGATTCTTTAACTTTGTTTTCTCTGTTTCATTTATGGCACTTGTCCTACGTTGGTTCTGTGTGCCTAATTTGTTCTCTTCTCTCCATGCTACTGTTGTTGGTCACTTTACTACTTCCTGTTATTTGAATGAAAAATAATTATAAGTAAGAGTGTAATTTTTATGAGAATTCAATTAGTATCATTAATGGTAACTTTTTGTATACCACCTCTTACAAACTTGTTTAGCTAAGTCTACTGCATAGCTAGCAGCACTGACTAGCCCTGTCTGGTCTCAGTATCATGCTTGCCTCCTTTTAGGTTTAGAATCCACCTTTATTGGATACAGTTTTTGAGATTTTGGTCCATATATTTTGAACCGATTATATTTTATTTTTACCCCTTAATACTAACTATGTCTGGTGTTATATGTGTGTGACTGTCCTACTTCTAAGTGTGTCATACAATTTTTTTTTCTGCCCCAGTTTCAAAGGTGTTTTCAGTTGCCACAGATTGTATACTTTAGATACCATACAATCACCAGCAGTGATGCTTTACTCTCAGAGTTCCACAGTCATCACTATGGTGATAGAGGGGAGAGCAACCTTGTGCGAGTGCCAAAATTATTGTTATGTAGAGGAAAACAGAACAGAATTCTACAGTTGCTAATAAAGGTCTTTATTATTCTTACTATTATTTTATACTTTTATGAATAACTAATTTATAAGGTCAGGCATCTCCTTGCAAATAGGGCTTAGACTGAAAGGGTTAAAAAGCCTTAATAGGATTCCATTAAAAATTACAGTATTTGTAATTCTCATTTTTTCTTGACAGTTTATTACCACTCACAAAAACATCATCAGCTGTTAAGGAGTCAGCTGTAAGTATCATCCGTGAAATATTGACAACCACTCACCCTGATGTTCAACTTGCTGTGTCTGATTTACCACCTTTACCAGATGATGAGTAAGTACATTTTGGTTTAATATCCCTCATTTATACTTATTTACAACTACACTTTCCTTTAGGTCAGCATATAAGTACTTAAGGAAATGAACACTACTCTTGCACAGACACACATGTTGACTTGTGGTTGTTGTCAAATGTGTGCCACCAAATGGCCACCCAGTGCACTACAGTACCAAGCTGTGTTCCATGGTGATCGCACACGGCCGTGATGGTGTCACTCAACGATTGCCGGTCTGTACTAATATTTTTACTTATTTTTTGGTTTTTACCTTACAGTTAGAGGACATCACTAATGTCCACATTGTACTCCATTTTGTGACTGTGAAGTGATTTTTTATTTTGTTTTTTGTAACTGTAAAGTGCTTTGTCTCTGTTGTTGTGAACATGATGTGAGCAGTGTCAGCCACAATAACATTATCATTGTTTGCTCTGTTTTTGTGAAAAGTACCACTAAGAGAGCTCAGGTTCTCAACTGGCTCAGCCATGTCAATACAGTAGAAGTCCAAAAATCCGGACTGCTTTGGGATTGGGTCGGTCCGGATTTTCGGATTTTCCGGATTCTCAGGCAGTACTTTTAAAATTCAAATTTAAGGAGGAATAAAGAAGAGATGAATAGGTACATTTTGATAGTTTATTCATTAGCAAATATAGCATGCTTCATTTATCAAAACAAGCAGTTTTAAAGAAAAAGCTGTGGATTCTAGAATTTTATTCTTTGCCTTTTTTATATCATAAATTGTAGACTTTCTAATGTCGTATGTTTCCATTAGAACAGTATTGCTCACACCACATTCTAGTTTCTTAATTATTTCAAGTTTGTCACTCAATTTCAACGTGTTCTTCTTTCTCTTCACACAACGAAGTTTATCTACTTTAGGAGCCATAATTATGGGCTTGTACAGTACTTTGTAAATGGAAAGAGTAGGACTCAAAATTACATACGTTGTCACAGTTTGATTGCTCGTTTTAAAGTGGCGACCGTGTGGTCGCTTGTTGTCGCTGTGGCGCTCATGCATGCGCACATACACACAAAAGCCTGCTCAATTATTAAAAAAAAAAATTGAAATGTCCGGATTCTCGGTGGTCCGGATTTTTGGACTTTTACTGTATTGTTATTATTATCCACTCTGTATATCTGTATTTTTCTGGCTAAATAAACTGTTTTAGTATCAATATCAAAGTGCTTTTGATTGTGAAGTGAGCAATGCAATTTTGAAAATGTCTGGAAAGGCCAAGGCACCCAGGAAACCATGTCTCTGGAGGTGAAGCTTGACTTTACGAATTGACATGAGACTCCCCAGAGGCTGTGTGGGAGTCAGAGTGACGACTCCACTCCACCTACAAGAGGTCCCTTTATCCTTGAAAGGGGACATGTAATGATGACCAGGCTTGTTCTTAATGGTGTAGTGAGTCTCGTTTAATCGTTTTATGTATATTATTAGTGTAGGATTTTTTCTGGTGATGCCTGTGGGTATTGGAATGGCTGAAAATGCATCCCATGGAGTCCCATGTTATAATGATCCTGATTTATGATATTTTGACTTGCTACCTGTTCTGTACCACTTAGGCTCTATTCTTGGGTATCAACTTACCCAGCCTGGGAATTGTTTTGTCATCTTTTGTTCAGAACTTATGGCTTTTTTTTTTATAGAAAATAATAAATTATTGTACAAGTATCCCCTAACATACAATGGGTTTCTGTTATTTTAAGTCAATTCATTAACCTTGTCATATACACTAAAATATTTTAAGTGTGTGTGACCACAACAAAAGACACGCGACCACTCGTGAGGCTTGGTCATCTTCATTCTGCGGCCAATTTATCCCACAAGAAATATATTTTGTTTGCATGATTTATGTCACTGAGTTTGCTATTATTTTGGCTTCAACATCAGCAGGAAAAAGCAAAGTTGAGAATAAGATTATTTTTTTCACTCTAAATAAAGAAAAAAATTACATGCATTCCCAGCATCATATGTCAGATTTTATAGAGCTGTACAGGTAGAATTTGATGAGCTTTATAATGGTGGCTTTGGAATTTTGATACAACTAATAGTGTGGAGGAAGAGAGAGGAAATAAAGAGACAAATAGGACCTATCAGCACGGCTGATGGCTGGAAACTGATGGACAGCGGAACTCCACTCACACTTTGGTACTTTCTGGAAGCTTCCCTCACAAGATCATACAGTCATCTATAATGCAAAAAAATTTGACTCAGTTGTCTTGAAAACTTTTTATTTTATTTGATTTGCATCATGATAAACCAAGGTACTGTATTATTGAAGGTTAAGGCGGCGCCTCACTAGCACTTTTTTCCGTAATTTTACTCCATAAATTTTCTAGAAGTTGTCAATTTTCTGAGCACGCCCTGTCACACACAACAGTCTTTCTGTATTTGTCAATTGTAAACAAAGAAAATGGTGTTGTGCACCTTCCTCTTCATTTTTTACTGTATCTATCATCCCTTGGATCCCACAGCCAATATTGTCTATCATGTAAGTATTCTTCACACTTTGGTGCTGGGAGGAGATGTCCTCTCTTTGTTGAGGAAGCCGGCCTTCTACACTTGCTTTAAGTTTTATTTATTAACATATAAATGGATTTTATGGAAATTCAGTGTTATATATTGTGTTTTTATCTTACATTATTTTATATTAGTCTTTTAAGTCTTTATTTTAATTTGGCGACATATGACCTAAGCTGTTGCATCGCCAAGGATGTAATTACTACTATTAATCAATCACTCAGACAGGCGTGTCCACACAGGAATAGACTGAGAAGAAGTTGAACACAGTGCACAATGTAAACAATTATATCAGATGTATTAACAAATATCAACATCAATAAGAAATTTTAGACTTAAGCAATTTATTAAAAATGCGATACTGAATACTTTTAAAACTAATATAGCTATTTTACGTGGTTCAATATTTATTTTATATACGTACCTGTAAATGTCCTCATTGTCACATATAGATCTTGACTTGAACACAGAAATTGGTGCAAGCAGAAATATTTGAGCGAAACAGACTAGAAAAATGACAATTTGTAGAAAAAACAACGGAGACCTGGAAAATTGACGGAAAGGGTGTTCGTGTGACCCAACCTTTGTCTTCCAGGGAGGGAAAATGATGGTCATCTGGAGGAGTTTTCACACAAAGTTCATCAAATATATGTTGTGTAAAAATAATAGAAAAGAATAAATACACTGAAAAGATGAACATTGTACAGGTATAGTAGAGTGTAAATGTATCTCTTCACATCCTGGGTGGCCACCTTGACTGTGTGACAACTAAAAGTTACATTCTTTAAAGAAAAAAAGGTGTCAAAATGTGAAATGTATAATTTTTTTTTTCCATACATACATACAGTATATCAAGGAATACCTGCAGTTACTGTACTATGATTTATTGCCAGTATTTGAATCACCCTTCATAATTTAAGTAATTTTGTTCAATAAATTCAGTGAAGTGATTATAAAATGATAAATTCACTACTTATACTTTGTTGAAAAGCAGCAGGTAAAAAAATATATTTTTAGATACTTAAAGAATATTCTGTATGTGAAGGAGTTGTGCTGATAGTCGATATATTTACTGTAGTCAAACTTTATTATTATCTTTTTATTAATATAATTTTGTTTTCTTTATTTACAGAGAGTTTCAGAGCCTGGACACTCTGAGAGAATTTCATATTCAACTTAAGGCTTCTCACCGTGGTAATCTCTCACTTCATGATGAAACAGAAAATTTTCTCTCTCAGTCTTTGGGTCAGATAAAACCACATTCTGTTTTACACCTCCTGACAATGGTATGTAAATGCATAAGATGATGTCAAAGTCAATAACTGGATTAATTCATGGTTTGGATTTAATTTGTCAGATAAAGGGGAACTATTGCAGTACTTGAAATAACTAAGTTTTTGGCTTTAGTTCCAAATTGAACTCTTTATTGTTTTTTCAGTTACAAGTTCACAGAGTTCGGATTGGAGAGTTGTATAGAACTGGTGGATTAAACCAAGAGAGTGTGGGACATCAGCTCACCTACCGCCTTATTACCCTTGCATCTGGAAGTGATGAACAGGTACAGTACTGTACTTAGAGTAGGTGGTCATTTTTTAACTCTGTATTTCCACCTTACTTGTCGTACTGGATACTTGGATGTATAATGTTTCATTTTTAATTAATGGTTATCAGAGGCCTTTATGTGGCCAGATCATTTAATATAGTTCATGTAGTCACTTCATAACTTGATGTTATATTCCTTGGTATCATTCTATAGTCATGAAAATTTGATTAAATCTGTTTATCCAGAAAATACTGTTAATTTGTTTTAAGTGGAGAGCAGGAATTATTCCTAATACGAATAATGATATGCAGGGTTAAGTGGTTTACATGCCATCATCTTTTTCATCACTCTTTTATGGTCATTTTCTATGCTTGCGTATGTTTGCCATACACATTATAGTATATAAATACCTTGTGTTCTATAAAGTAATTCACAATGAAATAAACACATTTAATTCAAATGAGACAGTAAACAGCATGGTATCCAATCCTGGGTGCACAAATTACCTCTAGCCTTGTCTCTGTATTATATCTTTGTATATTGCATCTTTCCCTTAACTGTGATAAACAGAAATACTACCATAGTTTTAACATGCTCCTACAGGCACCTAGCATGAGGGTTCAAGAACCTCTGTGAGCCTACAGGCACCTAGCAGAACAATATGTTGTATGAGGGTTCACGAACCTCTGTGAGCCTACAGGCACCTAGCAGAACAATATGTTGTATGAGGGTTCAAGAACCTCTGTGAGCCTACAGGCACCTAGCAGAACAATATGTTGTATGAGGGTTCAAGAACCTCTGTGAGCCTACAGGCACCTAGCAGAACAATATGTTGTATGAGGGTTCACGAACCTCTGTGAGCCTACAGGCACCTAGCAGAACAATATGTTGTATGAGGGTTCACGAACCTCTGTGAGAGTAAATGGCATGGAAAGTGAGGAATTGGAATTGAAAGTTGGTATGCATCAGGGGTCTGTCTTGAGCTCTTTCTGTTTATTGTGATGTTAGATACACTGTCACAAGACTTAAGGACTACTTACCTAGATAATTGTTGTATGCTAATTATTTAGTGATGATAGAAGGTTTCTCTGCAGAGATAGTAAAACAGTTAAAAAATGGAAGGACAATAAGGATTTGGAGGGTGTGAGAGTGATTGTATTGAAAATAATAATAATAATTGCTGCCTTGGGTGAAGGACTTATTGGAAAGTGCAAAATAACCATGTGCTGTCTGTAAGGAATATGTTAGAGTACAGTCAACCCTCACTTTACGCGGTTAATTCAACCCACAGGGTACCACGGAAAGTGAGAAACGCGTAAAGTGAACAACATAACATATGGGATTAATTGCAATAGAGACCGGGCCGACCCCCAAACTTCACTTTTTAACGACACACAACTATGTTGTAGTAAAAATATTATCTTAACTTTATGATGGTATGCACACACAATTATTATAGAAGAGGTTAGGATAGGAAAAATAAAGGTTAGTTTAGGAAAAATAATGGTTGGGGGTAACACTTACGTTAGTAGAAGAGATGGGTCGGTGTACGGGAATGGAGGCTGGTTCCGAGGCAGAGGGCAGGCTACTGGCCCTCAGGTGAGTCATCATCACTGTCATCCACACTTGTCAGGGTCTCCCTGACAAATCCCTCAAAGTCATCATCACTGTCTCTACCTCTGTCACTATCACTGGCTTGGGCTGGCTGTGGTGGGTTGCGGGCGAAGAACTCTGTTATGCTTTGCTGACGGCTGGTGTTTATGTTGTCGTGATAAACCTTGAAGTAGGGCTCCATAGCCTGCAACAGCTGGGAAGTGAAGATTTCATACCTGTTTGCGTCAGGGTCGTCGGAAAGGAGGCGCTTGACTTTCTCGATACACTCGATGGCTCCCCTAACATTACTATGGGATAACTTGCGTTCTTCTTGGGACGCATCACCTGCCTCTTCACTGACATCATCATCATCTACCATCTCGTCGGTAGTCACATCAGGATCCCTTATCACCTCCAGGATGTCGTCGTTGGTGGTCTCGGAGAAGCCTGCAGCTGTAACACTCTGCGCAGCTTCTCTGGCAAGGTCCACTGCTACTGCAACAGTCTGAACCTCACCAGTCACAGATTGACTCTGCCTAACGGCCGGAATGCCTTGCAACACATGTCTCCATGCGTGACGAACAGTTGCTACAGACAGCTGATCCCATGCTTCCACCAAGAAGTCCACAGCTTTCTTGATGTTGAATATTCTCCAGAATTGCTTTAAAAGTTCTTGTTGCTCTGCCGACTGTTGATCCTCGTCGTCTTCGCTCTTGCTATCGGTGGTGGTGTCACTCAGGTTACGCAACTCTTCCCTGGTGTTGGTGTAGTCGTTCAGGAGCTTGAATTTTTTAGTTAGAGAATGCAGCTTTTACATTACAGATTAACTCTTGGTCCATGGGCTGTAATATAGACGTAGTGTTGGGAGGAAGGAAGACCACTTTCACGTTGGGGTGACGATCTAAAAGTAGTGGCGAGTGTCCTGGTACGTTGTCCAGCAGCAACAAAATCTTGAATGGCACATTCTGTTGCTCACAGAATTTCTTCACATCGGGAACGAAACAGTCATCAAACCAGGAGAGGGACAGTGTAGAGAACATCCACGCCTTACGTGCAGTCAGCCAGTGGACATTTAGCTTGGTTATGTCCATGCTCTTGTAGGCGTGCGGCTTGCGTGCTGTGTGGATCACCGATAACTTGAGCTTACAGGTACCGGAGGCATTGGTGGTAAACAGGACGGTGATGCGCTCCTTCTGCAACTTCCGGCCCCGACACTTGCTGGCATTCTTCACAATGAAGGTCTTGGAAGGTAGCTTTTTCCAAAAAAGACCAGATTCGTCCATGTTAAACACCTGGTCGTCGGTGTACTGTCCTTCCTCCATAATCTCACGTAAAAACGGAGGAAATTCCCTAGCCGCAACACGGTCAGCACTAGCTTCTTCACCACCAATGTTGATATTGGTGATCTTGTTCCTCTTCTTAAACCTCTGTAACCACCCAGAGGAAGCATTAAAGGGTTTGGGCTTTGTAATTCCCATCTTTTGTGTCACTGCAGCATACAGTTCACGTGCGTACTCCTTAACTGAGCGCGTGTCCACCGCCATGTTCCGTCGCGCCTGACGCACCAAGTAGCTCACAAGTAATTTTTCCGTCTTGAGAAGCACCTGGTTGTGAAAATACTTGATCATAGAAGCACCTGTAGACTTTGTGATCTTCATGTGCTCCTTTATCTTGGCTGCATCCTTCTTTATCATCCGGATCGTAGATTCGTTCACACCATGCTGGCGCGCCAAATCAACCTGTCTTGTTCCTTTCTCCAACTCTTGGATGATATTGTACTTCACCTCGTAGCTTAAGGAACGTCGTGTCTTCCTTGGCTTAGGGCGGCTGGGTCCAGGTAAGGAAAGGATTCTCTCTGGGGGGGGTGGTCCAGCAGAAGCCATTTTACAGAACAATGGATGCACGATTACACGGTGTGGCCTGGAGGGATGAAACTGCTGCGGCTAGGTCAAGCATCATCTTTCCTCCCTCCCTCCCTCCCTCCCTCCCTCCCTCCCCCGGGTGGACACGTCATATTACTTTAAATCAATTACAGCTAGCAGACGGAGGGAGGTAGGGATGCATGGCCAATCACAGTCCGATACGTCATATGACTTCACTGATAACGCAACAGAGACATGCACTGCGCAATCTTACCGCGCGGCTTGCCCAGGCGGAGGCGGGAGCAGGCGGGTGGGGCGAATCTGAAAATAGCGTCGAGCCAGACACTCTCCGCATAAAGGGGTACACGCACCGCGGAATGTGAGCATACCGGTTTCGGCACGGTACCGCGTAAACGTGGAAACACGGAATGTAGGACCGCGTAAAGTGAGGGTTATTTGTACTGTCTCTAGAACTTTAAAACTACCAACAGACATTCTTGGGTACATCCAGGGTGTCATCCGTGAATAATAGAGGATAGCGAAATAAAAATCTGCAAATTTGTGGGGGCCCCCTTTATATATTAAATACGTACTCTGAAAGCACGAATTTGCTACCAGAGTTTAACAGTTAATTCATGTATGAGTTTTCTGATAAACTTCCTACGTGATCATGTTTGAAATAATAAATGTATGGTATGTATCTTCATATAATTTAGCTAAATATCTTTCTCATCAGAAACGGTCATCCCAGTGATTATGAATAAACTCTTTTAGAAATACATCATTACTTCAGGACGAAATCAGACATATTTGAAACAGCCAATCAACTGTAACTCTTTGAAGAGGGGCAGGGCATCTCTTCTCAGGTGGGAAAAAGTGCAGCATAGTATAATTAGCAGAAAACAGAGAAAGCCTAGTGTCTAAGAAAGTGGAAATTCTCCAAAAATTTTATATGGAAACTCCATGACTAAGAAATTTTGATTCATGATACTGTACAGTACTCAAGTGTACCATATAAGATGTACATTTTGATGGTTGGAAATGATGTGCAAACTTTTATTTTATGTGCGTATATGGAAGAAAAAAAAGAAACTGCCATTCATTGAGTCCTTCAATAAACGACAGGGCTTGGACAATTTCATCTGGTACTGTACAGGGGTATTTGGGGTGGGGAGGGGGGGGGGTGTTAGCAAAGTAATACACTAATAAAACTGACAGCTGTTGTCATGCAACTCTGTTGACATCATTATATATCACCACAAATTTTCCTTCTTCATGTATATTATACTGTATACCATTTGAAGTATTTATTTGAGCAACCATGACACTAGAATGCCCTAAGATATCGTTTCATATGTATTTCCAATTTTTAGGTTGCATTACAAGCAAGCAGATGCCTTGGAGAGTTGGGCCCCATCTCTCTTGGATCACCAGTATTCTACATAGAAGACGAGAATTCTAAGTTTGTCATGATTGGCACCTCAGATAGCGATATTTATTGTAAAATAATCGCAATGTTAAACAGGTGAGGAGGAAAATGCTGCTGTTTATAGATATTTTTTAACGACTTCTCCTGTTTACTGTAAGATGTACAGAGCAAATACATACACATATTGTGTCTTCAATTGTTATCATTCATTCTTTATTTCTTATTGCTTCTGTAGCTATGCCCTGCTATAGTACAATATTTCCCTTACTACTGTACTACTATACCTGTACTGTATATACTGTACTCACCAGCAGGTTCTGTCATCTCTTGCCTAGAGTAGGCAGGCACTTCTCTCAGCTGACTGTTATACATAACTGTAATCACATCTTAACACTTGTGGTGAAGGTTGGGTGGGAGATTAGTGGGTCTTATGACCTGAAGATGTCTGGAATACAGACAAAAGGTAAGGTGCTCCAGTGTTTTCCACTTACTGAATGTACAGTGCAGTATATGTAACTGTAATCACTTTTTACATACGTAACACTGCTTTAGCTCTGTTTTCTTGACTGATTTTGTTCTGGTACAGTAATGTACAGCACGGTACAACACAGCTAGCAAGGGAACAACCTTCTATGATGTCAGCAGAGTATGAACTAACTGATTCAAGCAGGTGGGCCACCCACGTGCCTGGCATGTGGGGATGGGTTGGAGCATGATGCAATCTTTTGGAATGCCCTAAAAATTTATTCCCAGACCCAGAAATTAAAATTTGAGATTTTCCAGAATTTTTCTTGGAATTTTCAGAAAATGCACCTAATTTTCAACCCTGGAATTTGTTCCCAAACCCTGAATTGAGAATTTTTCCATAAAAAATTTGAGCAAATTTCAATACCAGCTATTGTAGTGGTTCGGTTAGGAGGGATTCTGGCTATCGGAGATGTTACCGTACGGTATAGAAAAAATATCTAGGGAAAGTTGCTGGCTGGGAACTCATCCTCCCATTTAATTAATTCGTATGGGGGCAATTGTCCCGATATTCACAGGTTTTTTAATTGCAGTGACCTTTAGGAATGTGTCCCGTGTGATAACCGGGGTATTCCTGTACATGTGAAATGATGTAGATCGGTAACAAGGACCACCTGTACAACACTTTAACTGAGAGTCTCCACTGTAAAAAGCTCACTAAAAAGGCTTGGGTGACCAAATATGTCTTGGGAATATAACGTCTGAATAATAATGCAATTTTTGGAATGCATCTGCAACATAATTTAGCAACTTGCAAATGGTTACTTTTCATGAAATTAGATGCTCATCACACTATTCATATGTCATTCTCAGGTACTGCGTAGTTTGGCAGTACAGGAGGTCCTCGTTATAAGAGTATTCACTATCCGCAGTTAAGTGGTTAACGTTTTGTGACCATCCACGAAAAAAAAGTGCCAGCATTTAAGTGGACCCCATTCAAAAACTCTGGATAAAATCTATGGATTTAAAATATTTTATGTTAAAATTATTTATTTTTAAAACATTATAATAAATATTTTGTCTCAATGAACCACTGGAGTGAGTGTGCCCCACCGGGTCACTGGCACCTTGCCTCCACACACTCACTCCAATGAACATTAAGGACAATAAATAATTTATAAAGTTAAATAATTTCTTTAAATAATGTTTTAACAAATGTTTCTAAGGTAACTAATTGTTAAAAGATATCACATATTTTTTTTTTAGTTGTTTACAATATTATGGTCTCAATTTGGCCTATTTTCATTATTTTTTATGGGATTGATTCCCCACTTTAAGTGAATTTTTATCAGAGTCATTTTTTTGGCCCCTAATTAACCATGGATAACGAGGACCCCCTATTTATAGACTCAAAAGCCACTTGTAGAAATACTAAGAAAGTGAGAGGGGGGGTTGTCAACCAAATGACAATCTTCGAAACTGGCAAAAATGCCTGACAAGGCCGCGAACCCATTGTTAACATTCCCAAACGTACATGTCTTATGATTTTGCACATACATATACTGTACAGTACTTACAGAATATTAGCAAAATATCTAATAAAATAACTAATGACAATTTTTAGTTTCTATAAAATTGAGAGAGAGACTCTCTTACCCTTCTCTTCAGCACTCGCTTCAGGCATGGTGACAAAGATATACATGGTGAGAGTCTACAATAAACCTGGGAGACTACAACAGTGAGGTGCAGCAGCAAACTGACTGATCTCACCAACCGGAGATCAAACTCTGGCACAAATTCGTTCCGCTAAATTGAATCACCTCTCAAATGAATTCCATTAAAAAGAATAATTAATTTTCTCGTAAATAGATCATTGCGTGCACAGGTTGATTTATGAATTCATTTCCTGAACAAGTTTGTCCTCATTTTTCCTTTTCCTTTTTCTTATTACAGGATGTGTCAAGAGGTAACTTATGTTACAGGGATCAACTACTGTATATACTTTACATATTTATTTATTTGTGTATAATCACTTGTGCAAGCTTTTTCCTACTTGGTTCATAGTGGCTGGGCTGAGCAGTAGTACTGTACAGTACTGTAAGAATTTTCCCATCACTTGTTATTATCCATATTTTGTTTTGCAGATATCTGACCTCAGAGGACAATAATGTTGTGCAGGCAGCAGGTTCTGCCTTGCAGGAAGTCTTGTCAACAAGGTATGGTTATAATGCTTTCCATAAACTCAGTGCAACAGTCAAAGAAGAGTTGATTCTTTTACTTCCAAACTCTAAACCAAAAGCAAAATCCACCAGTTTTTCAGGTATGTTTTAAGTTGATATTATTTTGTAATACTGTATTGGTAATGGTCATAATGATATTGCATATTTTATTTCTCAAAAGCACTCAATTTTTTATAGCGAGATAAAATTACTAAAACTCAATGTACATAAATGTTTAAGAGGTTAACTTTAAAAGATTAAATTAGTGAAATGTACCTATCTGTCATATTTTTTTAGTAAATTGCCACAAGAAATTTACTTTAGAGAAAATCTCAAGATATAGGGAATCAGTGTAAATGTGAAATTAAAGAGTACAGTATTACCCCGCTTTACACGGTTTCACTTTCCGCGATTTCTCATTTACGCGGTACCTTGCCAGAACCGGACTTTCACATTCTGCGGTGCATCTACTCATATACGCCTGAAGTATAATTTTTTATTTTTTTTATTTAGCTCATAAAATTCATACAAATTACCCGGCCAGAATATAATTTACATTGCTGGAATTCTTACAATATGATGATCATTTTGAATATAAACATCATGGATTTTGCATTAGACATACAAATTTTAGATCTAATGTAATAATTTGGTTTACACAAAGCAAGTATTTTATCTTTTGTGCAAAATATATGAAGTTTACATTCAAAATATTCCCTGACCTGCAAGGAATCCAGAAATGTCAATTATATTATCCTAACTTTAGTCTGAGGTATTATTTATTACTAAACGTTAAAATCTAGTGTTTCACCCAATCATTTCTCAGAGAGGTAGGGGCCAGTGAGCTGGGAAGAGGGGGGGGGTGATTTGAGTCCATTATTTGAATGGACATTAACCTGGCGACTGTATTTCTCTTAAATATTAATTGTGTGAGCATACCATCATAAAATTTAGATGTTATTTTTACTACAACATAGGTATTGTGTCGGAAAAAGTGGAGTTTGGGGGTCGGGCCAGTCTCTATTGGAATTAATCCCATATGTTCTGTTGTTCACTTTACGCGGTTTTCACTTTCCGCGGTACCCTGTGGGTTCAATTGACCGCGTAAATCGGGGTACTACTGTATTCTATTTTGAAAATTTAACTTCCTATCCATAATAGAGCATAAAAAAATAACTTTCTTTCAGGAGTAGATGGTAACAGCTATAAGGCACTTGTGGGAAACTCTGACCTCTGGTTTTGTGGGAGCAAGTATGAGGAGTGGGTAACACATCTGGCATGTGAGCTTATTCAGGCTGGCTGTGGCAGTGAAGTTATCACACAAGTCTTACCTGTTTGTAAGGTGAAGGTAATAATATGTGCCAGCTTTTGTTTGTTAGTTTTATCAAATCCTTTTAATAATACAATAGTTCTACTTATGATAATTGTACAGTGAGATCTCATATTTCGCGCGATTTCATTTCACGTTTTTTAATTTCACAGCCCTCATACCAGTTACAGTCATTTCTGCTACAACTCATGTTTTGTCAACGCGAATTGGTTGCAACGTGATTGACGAATAGGGGAACGCTGTTTGTAAAACGCGAATTTTTGCATACGAATGTTGGCTATAGCGCAATTCCTTCCTCAATGTTTTGATTCCATCCTCAGCGTTTTAAGCGTGGCACGGGGTTATGCAATGTGTACAGTCCATGTTCGACATCACATGTTCAATTGATTCGTGTCTTTTGTTTGTCAAGTGTTTTTTTGAGAGGTACTCTGTATTTTTTTTTTTTTTATTTTTTTTTTTTTTGCGAATTTAGCTGTTACCCATAAATACTGCATGAAAAGAATAAGTAAATAGAATGTTTCACTGTGAGGACTAATAACGGTTTGCACCAGCGCTCTGTTTACATCACGTGATCAGTTGAATTGCGCGGTTTCTGTCAATTACTCCGTGATTTTTGCTATTTTCTCCAATTTTGTTGTGTTAGCGATGAATATGGAAAGACAGGGTAAGAAGAATGTTTCCAAGAAGCATTCTGGTGACCAAATTGCTGGTGGTGAACGTAAAAGAGGTTTACAAGAACGTAACTCTCGTGTTGTAGCCAGCGCCATCCTAGCGACCACCCAGGCTGTTATTGTGTGCTTTTTTGGGTGGTGCTACCACCTGGGGGTCCTACTGGTGCTGGTGGGACAGACCCACCTAAGCGGCCAAATAAGGAAAAGGAGAAATGGGACTATCATAAGGGAGTTAAGTTTGCCAAGTACTCGATGCAGGATAAGCAGCGTGTGATTAAGTTACTTGAGGAAGGCCTGAAAACTAGTTCCCGGAAAGCACAATCAAGTCAATAAAGGCAGGAAGTGTATCATTTGTAGGTTATAAATGGGAAAATCAGAGGTTGATGTAAAGTGGCCAGTCTGTATTGTTATTTTTCCCATTAGTTTATGTATTTGCATTTGGCACAATTTTTCCAGTCTATTAATCGCGAAATACAAGATCTTACTCTATATTAGTTCTCTGATTATTTGTTATCAGTATATGACTCATAAACAAGAACAGAGGTTTTCATTTGTTCATGTATTAAATAAAAACATTTAAGAAATAAATTAGTATCTTACAGGAAATACTTCTTTACTTTGCAGCCCGAGTTCAGTGCTTTTATGCTGCCTTTCATCATACATTCAGCTCTTCGGACAGACCATTCTAATCGAAGGGAAATTCTGTCAAAGCAGTTTTCAAAATTTTTTGAGCACCATGTGGAGGTCATCAAACCTGCTGTAGATACAAGGGTTGGTGGTGAGTATCACAGTTTTCCTCAGTTGTACATTGACAAGTTTGTAAAATTGGAAAAACTTACTTGATTTAAAAATGTATTAACATATATTATGATAAACCACATACAGTACTGCTCTTAAGAGGAGTAAATTACCTATCCTCCACATGAATTTCAACTTAATTTAGCAAGAAGTTATGGAGAAGTAGGATTTGAAAATTTATAGAAATGTAAGAGAAAAATCAGGTATCAGGGATTAGGCAGAACTGATTCCGGGGTATATCAACACTGTATCTGGTATCCTTAATTGCTCACAGGAACTTGTTATTGATTGATCAATTATTAACGAATTTTGTCCTTCAAGACCAAGCAAACTTTTCCATCAATTGTGATCATTCAATAATTTTTTTTTTTACCAAAATAATTCCTTTTAGGCGCGTGCATACAGTGAACCCTCACTTTACGCGGTCAATTGAACCCACGGCGGCCCGCGTAAAGTGAGAAACGCGTAAAGTGAACAACATAACATATGGGATTATTTGAAATAGAGACCGGGCCGACCCCCAAACTCCAATTTTTCCCGACACAATACGTACGTTTTACTAAAAATAACATCTTAACTTAATGATGGTATTCACACACATTTAATATAGAAGGGAACAATCAATAAGAGAATAATATACTGAAGGTTAGGTTAGAAAAAAACAAGGTTGGGGTTAACACTTACGTTAGTAGAAGAGATGGGTCGGCGTAGGGGAATGGAGGCTGGTTCCGAGGCAGAGGGCAGGCTACGGTACTGGCCCTCAGGTGAGTCACCATCACTGTCATCCACACTTGTCAGGGCCTCCCTGACAAATCCCTCAAAGTCATCATCACTGTCTCTACCTCTGTCACTATCACTGGCTTGGGCTGGCTGTGGTGGGTTGCGGGCGAAGAACTCGGTTATGCTTTGCTGACGGCTGGTGTTTATGTTGTCGTGATAAACCTTGATGTAGGGTTCCATAGTCTGCAACAGCTGGGTAGTGAAGATTTCATACCTGTTTGCATCAGGGTCGTCGGAAAGGAGGAGCTTGACTTTCTCAATACACTCGATGGCACCCCTTACATTACTATGGGATAACTTGCGTTCTTCTTGGGATGACGCACCACCTGCCTCTTCACTGACGTCATCATCATCTACCATCTCGTCGGTAGTCACATGAGGATCCCTTATCACCTCCAGGATGTCGTCGTTGGTGGTCTCGGAGAAGCCTGCAGCTGTAACACTCTGCGCAGCTTCTCTGGCAAGGTCCACTGCTACTGCAACAGTCTGAACCTCACCAGTGATAGATTTACTCTGCCTCCCACCCGGAATACCTTGCAACACATGTCTCCATGCGTGACGAACAGTTGCTACAGACATCTGATCCCATGCCTCCACCAAAAAGTCCACAGCTTTCTTGACGTTGAATGATCTCCAAAATTGTCTCACAAGTACTTCTTGCTCTGCCAACTGTTTTTCCTCGTCGTCTTCGCTCTTGTTATCCATGTCGGTGTCATTCAGGTTACGCGCACTCTTCCTTGGTGTTGGTGTAGTCGTTCAGGAGCTTGAATTTCTTGGCAGAGAAAGCAGCTTTTACATTGCAGATCAATTCTTGGTCCATGGGCTGTATTATAGACGTAGTGTTGGGAGGAAGGAAGACCACTTTTACGTTGGGGTGACGATCTAACAGTAGGGGCGAGTGTCCTGGTGCGTTGTCAAGCAGCAACAAATTTTTGAATGGAACATTGTGTTGTTCACAGAATTTCTTAACGTCAGGAACGAAACAGTCATCAAACCAGGAGAGGGACAGAGTAGAGAACATCCACGCCTTACGTGCAGTCAGCCAGTGGACATTTAGCTTGGTCATGTCCATGCTCTTGTAGGCGTGCGGCTTGCGTGCTGCGTGGATCACCGATAACTTGAGCTTACAGGTACCGGAGGCATTGGTGGTAAACAGGACGGTGATGCGCTCCTTCTGCAACTTCCGGCCCCGACACTTGCTGGCATTCTTCACAACGAAGGTCTTGGAAGGTAGCTTTTTCCAAAAAAGACCAGATTCGTCCATGTTAAACACCTGGTCGTCGGTGTACTGTCCTTCCTCCATAATCTCACGTAAAAACGGAGGAAATTCCCTAGCCGCAACACGGTCAGCACTAGCTTCTTCACCACCAATGTTGATATTGGTGATCTTGTTCCTCTTCTTAAACCTCTGTAACCACCCAGAGGAAGCATTAAAGAGTTTGGGCCCTGCAATTCCCATCTTTCGTGATACTGCAGCATACAGTTCACGTGCGTACTCCTTAACTGAGCGCGTGTCCACTGCCATGTTCCGTCGCGCCTGACGCACCAAGTAGCTCACAAGTAATTTTTCCGTCTTGAGAAGCACCTGGTTGTGGCAATACTTGATCATAGAAGCACCTGTAGACTTTGTGATGTTCATGTGCTCCTTTATCTTGGCTGCATCCTTCTTAATTGTCCTGATCGTAGACTCGTTAACACCATGCTGGCGCGCGAGATCAACCTGTCTTGTTCCTTTCTCCAACTCTTGTATGATCTTATATTTAATTTCGTAGCTTAAGGAACGTCGTGTCTTCTTTGGCTTAGGGCGGCTGGGTCCAGGTAATGCAAGGTTTCTTTGTGGTGGTGGTCCAGTGAAGCCATTCTTATGGAACAATGGATACCGATATACACGGTGTAGCCGGGAGGGGTGTAACTGACGCGGGTAGGTCAAGGGGCTTGAACGCTCCCGCGGCGGGGCACGTCATAGTACATTAAACCAATCACAGCTAGCGGGGAGGGAGGTAAGGATGCTTGGCCCAATCACAGTCCGATACGTCATATGACGTCACCGATAACGCAACAAAGACATACACTGCGCAACCTACTCGCGCCGCTTACACAACATGGCGGATGGTGGGATAGGGCGGGAGAGATGGCGAGAGGACCGCCAGCTGCTCTCCGCGTAAAAGGGTACACACACCGTGGAAAGTGAGCATTCCGTGTTCGGCAGGGTACCGCGTAAACGTGGAAACGCATAAAGTGAAACCGCGTAAAGCGAGGGTTTACTGTATTTGCTTGTCTATCAAGCTTTCACTTTTCCATTTTCCATTCCTACTAAATGTAAAAAACTTGTAGTACACTATGTATTGTGTCTGTGAAATTATGTTTTGTTTCTTTTCAGGTATAGATATGTGCATTGATAAAGCTGCTCTACAGGTTTTACTTAATGTAATAAATTATCTTCGCGCTCAAACACCAGATAAAGCTTTTACTGACAGGTAATGTTTTGAGTCTTCTCTGATTTCATGTGAAATATTGCCTAATAGGTTTAAGCATCAATACGGATGGTACAGTGTAGATGGTGTGGGGAAAATAAGGGGATATAAGGCTGCTGTACAGAAAATTGTTTTTGCCATACTGTACCATACACAGTAGTAGGCAAGTAGTCCTAAAAGATATGTGATGTATGCATAATATTGTTCATTCTCTCATCCACCACCATACAGAAACAAAGTGACACCCTGGGAGAGGAACTTTTGGCTCCAGGTGAACTACCTGCAAGTGGCTCAAGCTGCTCACTATTGTGGAGCACATTTTTCTGCACTTCTCTTTCTCCATATTCATTGTAAGGAAACAAATCCATTTTTGTTAAACAAAACGTATGCTAATGTACAGGAATTTCAATTACTATAGCTGACAAATCAGACCTGAGAATACTTTACAGTGGTCTAATCAAATTTTCTATAGGCTTACCTTGAACTAAGACACTGAGTATGTAAGCAGGCTGGGGCTGATAGGGTGTTGCTGCATTTGTCACCTTTATTTATTTATTGATTCAGTATTATATTCTCAAATGGTCAGCTTTTTATGGTTTATGGTTCATCATGATTAATATAACATCTTCAATAATAGAGAAAAATATGATGTGTAGTTTTTTATATGACTTGAAAATAAAAGGATAAACTGTATTGCAAGGTCTGCACTCAGGATGCATTCCTGTGAGAGCTTTCAGCAGACCAGCTTACAACAGGGTCACTATAACACACTATAGTATTTAATATGAAGATACCTTCTTAACAGTGTTATTTACTACCACTGAGTGATACAGGATGGCTCAGTTGGGTTCTTGTACACTTAGACAACTGATTAACCCTGTACCGACAGACAATAAATATCCCCTGACACAACCCTAACATACTACTAGCTTAGCTAGGCGGTCAGCCCACCCTCTCTTACCTCTTCCTAAACTTCTTCAATTTCCGAACTACAACTTCCTTCCCCCACCTCTAATCTTCTTTCACCCGTCCTTTCTTTAAAAAAAAAAAAAAAAAAACCTTAAAAGTCTGACAAATCTTGGGAAGCCTCCCCTCAGAAACTGAATAGTAGGCTAAAAAATAAAAATCATAAATGAATGTTCTAGTCTTATAAAATGTTAGACATACATGTTAGTCAATAGGAAATAACATAATTATTACTGTACTCACCACCTATGGTTATTGGCGAGTCAGCGAGACATAGTACCTCAGCACCCCTCTGACAGTTATCAAGGGAGTGAATGATGGTGCACTACCAACTCACTCCATGTTCTTATAACTTTAGAACACCTTCACATGGTTCCTTATTATTACACTATACAGTACATTCACCACTCTGTGGCTTGGAGTGGCAGAGCTTGGTAGCTGGAGTTCTTAAGTGGTTGATCCAGAGAAGTAGACGGGCGGCCTTCACCCATGGTGACAACTGTTATACTGATTATTTGCTTTAAGATGTGGTCAAGGAGAGGTGGGGGTGAGCTGTTGCCACAATAATAGTCATGCTACTCATGCGGGAAAAAAAAAAAAAAAACGAAGCACTAGATTGACAACATCAGACCCCTACTGCGTCGGGCGCTCTGAGACGATGTCAGACCTTTAAGGGTTAATGAATAAACCAGGGTATATGCAGATGCATAATACTGTACACTACAATATTACTTATTAAATGATGATAAATACACAACAATAGTATTTATTTTGTAATAATAAAATAAACTACTGTACTGTACTAATTGTTTTAAGTGTTGAAGGCAGACATTGTGGGAAGCAGCTGTTTGGGCCAAACAGTTTGGCCTTTGTAAACAAACAATTCATGATGTGATTCTTTTTTCAGGAAAGTTGATTCTTTTAGGATAATATTTTATCAACCGGGCACCAAATGATCCTAAATTATGTAAGAATTGTGGTGGAATTACATAAAGAAGTGTTGAAGGAATCTTGTGGGAGAGAGGGGGAAGGAGCCACCACCCATGCTACCCGCCCTCTGCTCCACATACAATTTACTCCAACACTTTTTTGTTCTTATTTTCATCTTTATATTACTGTACAGTTTACAGTTTTCTCTTTATTCATAAAACAATTTCTGTGGTTACTTACATATAGCACTTTACACTACACAGTATTTTCTGGCAACTCAATCTCTGTGTTAGTGAGTGGTGCAGGTGCAGTGTACCATATTTTAAGGCATATTAGACGCATCCCCCATTTTAGCAGGTAGTATATCGGAAAAAAAAACTTGTGTGTGTATATTCCTCCTGTAGCCACAGTTTTCTTAAAATAATATATACAGTACCAGTAAATGTGAGGAATAAATAAAAATAATACCAGTAAATAATCTACAACAAAAAATACTGTATTACCAAACCAGTAAATAAAAGCCAATTGAAAGTTTAACATTGTCATTTGCATATACAGTACTCCCTGGTTCACCATAGCAACAGAGACCAGCAAGGACGCTACCTCTGCCGATTCCCAAGCAACACACCCGCAACAATTATGTCTTTACTTTTTTCACAGTATGTATGTAGGATGGTGTGTGTATGTAACCGAGTAAAAGTAAATGGAGAAAGTTATTTAAATCTCCCCAAAAATACGAGTTGAAAAACAACCATAACACCACAGCTTGGCTCAGTAGCTTGGTGGTTACAGTGATGAGTCTAACTCGGCTTAATTTGCCACCAGCGATGTTAACAGACATAAATGTGAAAAGAAAGTTATCTGTAAATCTCCATTTGTAGATTTAAAATTAAATGTTGCAGGTATGGCATTAATAGATTGTAATGCTTGTAAGACTTCCGAAATGGTTACTGCTTAGATACCTCTGAAGAGTTGGGTGTCTGTCGTACAGATGTTAATCATCTCGGGTTATCCTCATCAGTACAATAGTTATAAATCAAGCTTTTATATTTACAATAATTATTTATAATTAATTAAAAATGATAATAATGTGTTTAAATGAGCAATCATTTAGCTTACTGGAGACAACAACTGGGGGATTCTTTAGCTTACTGGAGACAACAACTGGGGGATTCATTAGCTTACTGGAGACAACAACTGGGGGATTCTTTAGCTTACTGGAGACAACAACTGGGGGATTCTTTAGCTTACTGGAGACAACAACTGGGGGATTCATTAGCTTACTGGAGACAACAACTGGGGGATTCATTAGCTTACTGGAGACAACAACTGGGGGATTCTTTAGCTTACTGGAGACAACAACTGGGGATTCATTAACTGGAGACAACAACTGGGGGGAGACAACAACTGGGATTCATTAGCTACTGGAGACAACAACTGGGGATTCATTAGCTTACTGGAGACAACAACTGGGGATTCATTAGCTTACTGGAGACAACAACTGGGGATTCATTGCTACTGGAGACAACAACTGGGATTCATTAGCTTACTGGAGACAACAACTGGGGATTCATTAGCTTACTGGAGACAACAACTGGGGATTCATTGGCTTACTGGAGACAACAACTGGGGGATTCATTAGCTTACTGGAGACTGCAACATTACTGGAGACTGCAACTGGGGATTCATTAGCTTGGATGGGGATTCATTGCTACTGGAGACAACAACTGGGGATTCATTAGCTTACTGGAGACAACAACTGGGATTCATTGCTTACTGGAGACAACAACTGGGGGATTCATTAGCTTACTGGAGACAACAACTGGGGATTCATTGCTTACTGGAGACAACCACTGGAGACAACAACTGGGGATTCATTGGCTTACTGGAGACAACAACTGGGATTCATTGGGAGACATTTCATTAGCTTACTGGAGACAACAACTGGGGGAGACAACAACTGGGGGATTCATTAGCTTACTGGAGACAACAACTGGGGGATTCATTAGCTTACTGGAGACAACAACTGGGGGATTCATTAGCTTACTGGAGACAACAACTGGGGGATTCATTAGCTTACTGGAGACTGCAACTTTACATATAGGACTCAGGCTGACCTGTTTAGCCAACTGTGTCTTATATGCCGTAAAATATGGTATTTCTTCGACCAAACTTTTAAATAAACTTTTCAGGATTATTTTTGTTAAAAATATTGTTTCTAACTTAGTTAAACTGATTTATAGATCCCAGTATAAACATATCTTATGTTTTTTAATAAAAAATTGAGTCCCCATAATTATTTCACATCAAAATATTTTGTTTAGAATCTTTTATTAGACAATCTTGTAGAGAATTTATTCAGAATCATTATGGTAACAAATTATCTCTCTAACACAATTAGAACAGATGTGGGGAATAAAAGATTATAAATGATTTCCCTCGTGCTTGCAGCGTAAATGTAATGGGAGAGTGTTTGTCTGTACAAGATGGTGTGCATAGTTTGGACTCTCAGAAAACTTTCCCCAACACCCAGAAACATTCTGGGATGTGTGATAGTGTATGTCTGTGCAAGATGCATAGTTTAGACTTTTACAGTAAATTTTTCCCATTACCCTGAAAAATCCGGGGACGGGTCATTTTTCCGGGTTAGAAAGATTCGTCTTGTTACCCAGAAATCTCTCATTCCCAGAAGAACCCTGGACCAATTATTTGGGCTAATGGGAAGATTACTATACAGTATGTATATATACTTATTCTCTATCCATGGCCTTTCAAATGGAAACTCATTTTAGGTGAAATATTACAAAGTGAGGTGCAGAAGACTCAGAATGGAAAGAATTCATCAGTGAATAGACAAATTCCACCATTAATGCAGATATCACACCTCCCTGAAGCTGTTACAATCAGTCAACTAATGCTTAAGGTATGACGACTTATTTTATATATACAGCTCCTCCCCGACTTATGACTTACTCGACTTACGACTACCCGCACTTACGACCTGCCTCAGTCGTACCAAAATTTTGTCAAATTACGTATTTTTGAGTCCTAACGTCAGTACACAGAGAAAATTTTCGTTTGTAATTCACTTTAAAATGGCTGGCAAGCTTAAAGGTGAGTTTTGGTGGTGCTGAGAAGAAAAACAGACACCCATTTTAGATTTTCTATGTACATGTATTATTTAAGCATTTTCGACTTACGACCTGGATTTGGGTCCCTAACCCTGTCGTAAGTCCGGGAGGAGCTGTTTTCTTTTTCCTTGTGGTTATCAGCATATACCTGGATCACGTGCACCTACAGTGATTTATTTGCATATATATATATATACATACATACATGCATGCATGTATACATACATACATACATACATACATACATACATACATATATATATATATATATATATATATATATATATATATATATATATATATATATATATATATATATATATATATATATATATATATATATATATATATATATATATATATATATATATATACCTGTTCATTACATTTGAAACATCAATTATTGTTAATTAAATTTGAAACAAAAGAAAACTACAATACCTTATTTCTAAATACCGGGTATTTTCATTAAAATATTACATCACAAGTATATTTTACCTTAACTGTGACTGAATGAATATATTCTCAGAAATAAATATGGAAATGTAATATTTTTGCTGAAATGACGTACATATTACAGTGGAAAGTGGGATAAAATCATGACGAAAACAATGACTTACGCTTTCTATCGTTGTTCAAAAGATTTTACCGTGGAACAAACCTGTACTGTACATGTACTAAATGATCACGGTACTTAAATTGTTATGTCTATTGCAAATATAGATTGTTTATACAGGTATTCAAATAAATCACTATCTTACAAGAATCCCAGCAATGTAAGTTATATTCACCCAGGTCATTAAGGTGGCAAATTATGAGAAGAGCTTAGTCACTCTTAAGTAATGATAAATAAACACTTAGGCCTTGAGTCCCAACTGTCACATCTTATCTCAAATAAATAAACAAACACCACACTCTGTCACCTCACCTCCCGCCCCCCATGCTCGCTGGCTACCTCCCTCCTTGTGTTCCCAGACAAAAGATTGGTGATAACTTTATTCTTTAAGGTGTTTATCTTATATAATATCTCAGACTAAAGTTAGGAGATCATAATTTGCATTGCTGGAATCCTTGCAAGACAGCCAATAATTTGAATATAAACTTCATATATTTTCATCAAGATATAAAAATGTAGTACATTAGTGTACAATACTGTGTAGTACATTTTATAATACAGTATAAAGTTTTCAACTGTATTTTTGGGTAGATTTACATAAATTTCTTCATTTATTTTCATCCATTTACATGCACACACCGTACTTAAAGAAATAAATGACCTCAGTGCAAAGCTGGAGTGTACATGTACTAATTTCATTACGGTACTAAAATTGTTATTTCTAGTGCAAATTAGAGCATGTTGCTATTCAAATTAATCAGTTTCTTACAAGAATCCCAGCAATGTTAATTATATTCTCCCAGGTCATTTCACTGGCATTTTAAAATAGGAGAAGCATAGGAGGACTGTTAAATAAACACACAGAGACCTTCGGTTCAAACTGTCAAACATATTGTAGCATACTGTTGTGGCAGGTTGTCAGGGTCTCTTATTTGGCCTCACAACGTACGTACATGTAATATATCCAACACTCAGGATTGAGGTAGAATAGAAAGTCACAATGTGTTTCCCGTAATATATATTGTTGCACAGCACAGTGTTAAAGAGATACTAGGTCGGGCGAAGCTTGCTCAGAGTTCCTGTAGGGCGAGGAGCTTTCTGAGGGAGCGTGTGGTGTGGAGCTGTTAAGAGATGTTGCTTGCTGGTGGCGGTAAGTAGAAAGAGAGCGATGACGGCCAGGTGGGGTCTTATATAGCGGGGGTAGGTGTGGCTTGATGGTAGGCCCCCGCTTTGTTCGGCGTCGCTGGTTACCTGACCTTGACCACAAGGGATACGCTGGTAGATTCGCGGGGGGTCGGCCAGTCAGCGACACATGGCATTTGTAGGGGAGGAATCCACTACAATATCACCTCAACCCCCCCCACCCCTCGCTGGCTGGCTGGCTGGCTCCGTCCCTCCCTCCCTCCCTCCCCCATCTGCTCAGCCAGGGGTTTATTTAGGCTTACAGTTTTTATCTTATATAATATCTCAGACTAAAGTTACGAGATTATAATTTGCATTGCTGGAATCCTTGCAAGACAGCCAATAATTTGAATATAAACATCATATATTTTGCTCAAGAGATAAAAAAATTTGTACATTAGTGTACAGACTGGTTTTCAGTTAAAAAACTGTTGTATTACAATAATATTCCCTCCTAATTGACTTGAATAAATACTTGAATGGAAATATACAATATTTTTGTTGAAACTACCCGCGTTTCAGTGTAAAGTGTCGTAATAATAAATGGTAAACAATTTGCCTTTGGCACTGTGTTTTAGGCACGGCGAGCCTCAGTTTATAGGACGTAGAGTGTTTTTACTGAAGGTTTTGTTGTTCCCATACCCTCAAAAACTTGGGTCGACCTATAAACAAGGAATATCATAAATTAACGATTTTTTGGTAAAAAAATCAGGGTCGACCTACAATGCTGATGTCAACACAAGCGTGGTTACAGCTAGACTGACTGGGTGAGGGAGCGCGGGGTGGCGTGACGCGCGTGTGTGTGTGTGGGGTGGCGGGCGGTGTGCGGTGCCACGCGCAACTTGAATGTACTTCAATTACTTCAATGTACAGTTGGTCCTCATATTACGCGGTCCCGCATTCCGCGTTTCACCGTTAACGCGGTGCCTTGCCAGAACCTAACATTTTCACATTCCGCGGTCGTGAACCCCATTACGCGGAGAGCGGCTGGCAAGCCGCGCCATTTTTGGATCCAAACCTCCCGCCATCCGCCATGTTGTGTAAGAGGCGCGAAAATGGTGCGCACAAGGTCGCCCAGTCATCAAAACATGACCAGTTCTTCACCCGCCACCCACTACAGCCGGCCCAAGTCAGTGATAGTGATAATTATAGTGAGGATATGGACTTATATGAACTTTGGGGGGTTTGACAAAGAGGCCCTGCAAGCCTCTGTGGTGGATAGTGATACAATTGATACAAGTGATACAGGTGAGGGCCAATAATCTGCCCTCTGCCTCGGAACCAACCGCCCATCCCCGTGTGCCCAGCCATCTTTTCTACTAATGTAAGTGTTAAAAAACCTAATATTATTGATATTTCTCTTAATTATTAATTGTGTGTGCATGCCATCATAAAGTTAAGATAATATTTTTACTACAACATAGTTGTGTGTCGTCAAAAAGTGGAGTTTGGGGATCGGCCCGGACTCCATTTCAATTAATCCCATATGTTATGTTATTCACTTTACGCGTTTCTCACTTTCCGCGGTACCCTCCGGGTTACATTAACCGCGTAATATGAGGACCAACTGTACATAATATTCCTCCGGCGGGGCAATCCGCGTATTTGCGAATCCGTGTATGCTAAACCCGCGTATGTGCAGGGCCGACTGTATATATAAATGGAGTACATACATAGTATACATACAACATACATAATATACATACATTATACATAATATACATACAACATGCAAACAATTTAATGTAATGTATTTTCACATTTATTGGAGTCTTCTGTTACAAAATGTTATGTGACACCAGTCATTTCACCTCATGCTAGTGTTACAATATGGATGTTGTTTTAATATGAAAATTCTGTGTTACTGTTTATTTCCTCAGGTGTACAGTAGCCTTAGTGATGGTGTAGAGGGATGTGTTAAATGCAGCAGACTCATTGACTCATCTGCCAGGGCACTACGCTGCCAACACCGGGGCCAGTGGATGGAAGCTTTTGCCATTCATGATGCTGCTAATTCTACTTTTGGTACTATTGACTCCTTATTTTTTAGATTATTTTCTTTCAATGAATAGCGAGTGACTGTTTTATATACAAAGAGGATTCTTGCCTTTGCACTTGATAATAGTTTTGAAAACAGTATCATGTTATATATTTTTTCTGACTAAATTTATATTAAAGCAAAATATTTCAGAGTATAACTGTTAGTTATCACACATTTACACTTAATTATTTTGCACAGGAATGGTTAAGGGGCTACGTGAACTTGGGTTTTTCAATACTTTGAGTATATATATTCAAGGAGTATCACTCAAGTTTTCTCAAGAAGTTTCAGAAGCACGGTAAGCTTGATTTGGCTTATTTCCATGTATAGTCTGTGTAAGCTTGTTCTTTTCTTCCTTTATAGTTATGGGTAAATACATAACTGTCACTGTTTGCTAATTCATATTAAACATGGCATATTGCAAGCTTCAATGGCCAGGGTATAATTAACCCTCTTGTGCGCACAATGAGATGTTAAGTTCCGTGTCCACAACAAAAATCATTTAGGGCCACTCACATGAGGTCTGGTCATCTTTGCTCTGTGGCCTATTTATCTCAAGTTTTTTCATGATTTATACATCACTGGCTTCATTATTATTTTGGCTTTAACATCAGCAGGAAAAAACTAAGTTGAGAATAAGACTATTTTTTTCACTCTAAATAAAGAAAAAATATTTGTGTTCCCAGCATTATGTGTCAGATAATTTCTCATAAACCTACCAAGGTTTTAGATAGTTCTAGAGGTAGAATTTGATGAACTTTATAATGGTGGCTTTGGAATTTTGATACAACTAATAGTGTGGAGGAAGAGAGAGGAAATAAAGAGACAAATGTGACCTATCAGCACGGCTGATGGCTGGAAACTGATGGATAGCGGAACTCCACTCACACTTTGGTACTTTCTGGAAGCTTCCCTCACAAGATCATACAGTCATCTATGATGCACAAAAATTTGACTCGGTTGTCTTGAAAACTTTTTATTTTTTTACGCAATTCACATCACCAATACAGTAAAGCCTCGGATAACAACGATTCGTCCAACAACTTTTCGTATTTGAAACCCAAGCTAATTTAGGACCCAATTCAGTTTACATCCTTATTTCATTTGTATTTATGACCAAAATATAATAAAAATAAAATAAAATTACATTTTCATATAAATAATAACTAAATTCCGATATGTATTATAAAAAAAAAATTAATGTAAAAAAAAAATGAAGAGCGCCTTGCGCAAAGAAGCTGCCTTGCTAATGAGTGGTAAACAACACCCTGAGCTTGGCGTGCCTTTTGTTTTCACACATCTGGAACAGGAACTGGAGAAAAACTTTCTCAGGTTTCTTACAGCATTTTTGCATCCCTATTCAACATGAGCAAGTGATGGTAGTGTATAAGCTTAGCCGAGAAACTAGATGTGTTAAAACAATTTGAAAAAGGTGAGAGGTCTGTGGATATTATATGGAGCAAGCAATGAACATATTTTCTGAAGTAGATTCATTAACAGAACAAAACCTTAAAATTTATATAAATGCAAATGACTTCTACATAAAAATGTATAATGAGAAAAGAAAGCAGCTGTGCAAGGTTCTTTCAAGAGCTTTATTATTCGAAGGCCTAAACCATCAACTTCAGCTACACCATCAAATTCAGCATCATAAGCAGCTTCAACATCAATTTCAGGTTCAGTAACAGTTTCAGCAACACCTTTATAGAAACCTACAGCTTCAGCCAGAGTTGAACCTGATGACTTCGTCATCTGAGTAAAAACTCGAACAATATTCATTGGCTGTCTTTATGTTTTAGACTTTACCGCCGTTGGTGAATAGAATTTTTGTTTTACATTCATAAATATTATTCAAAACATATATGAACAGTAAATAAGTATTGCTTTCATATTCATATGTTGAAAAATGACGATAGGTTTTCACATGTACGCACTCACTGTTCATACGTTTGCGTTCCCAATCGTCTCGCCTTATTTCTTCACCATTAGTGGTTAGCTACTCCTAGCGTTCCATTTATTAATATTAAATAGCCTTACTTAAAACATACAAACAGGTATTCAATTTTTTTAAATTATGTTCACTACAGCTACAACCAGGGTCTTATTTTCTTCAGTTTCTTATGTAGAACCATCGTCACTCACGAAAACAATGCCGTCTTGTCTCCTTGTGTGTGTTTTAATATTCTACGTATTATTAATGAATTGCTTTGTTCATTTCACATATATAAAGAGTAATTCAATCAAATACATATTCAGTAATAAACAATAATGAATCTTTTGTACATATTCTTCAGATAAATGATGCGGTATCCTTAAATACTTACATATATGTGGGCGTTCCCAATCCATCTTTTTTTTTTTTTTGCCATTAGTGGTTAGCTACTTCTATTGTTCCATTTGTTAACATTAAATAATGTTACTTAAAACATATACAGTATATTAATTTTTTAACATTAATTTTACTACAGCTACAACTAGGGTCTTATTTTCTTAATTTTCTCATGTAGAACTATCGTCCCGGACTCCTGGCTGTAAACACAAACGAAAACAATGGCGTCCCATCTCCTCTTGTGTGACCATATTATTATTCATTTATATTGTATAAGGTGCATTCAGGAACATTATTTAAAGAATATAGTTTGCACTTTTCGTTAATTGTATTGTTTTAGGGGAAAAGAGGGTAAAAGGCCACACAAAAGATATGAGAAGGTCACACTTGGGAACGCATCTCATTATTATTGCTTTATTTTAATGGTAATTAATGATTCGCGATAAGACGATTCACCTTGCACTGCAATATTGGGGGACACATTAACGTTGTTATTGGAGGCATTACTGTACAAATACTGTAGTGCTACCCAATGAGTGGATGAGATTCACATCATGATGCATGAGTGTGTTAACATTATCAGCCTCTGTCAGTAAAAGTTTTGAAAAAGATTACCAAGGGTTTTTGAAGCACAATACAGTACGCCCAGAAAATTCGCGGATTTTTATTTCGCAGTCCTCTATTATTCACTGATGACACCCTGGATGTACAGTCACCCAAAAAAGTCCTGTCGCCTCTCATCCTGAACCATGAACCCCGAGATTAAGACTCATGAACCCGAAGCAGTAGGCTGATGCATTATTCTGTCCATAAATGCTTCTGATTCAAGAGTCTGAATCTCGGGGTTCATGGTTCGGGATGAGAGGCAACAGGACGTTTATGGGTGAATGTACCTAAAAATGTCTAAGGGTAGTTTTAAAATTGCCACCATTTTTGCGGCTGGGACAGGGAGCCATTCTTTTTAGAGACAGTAATTTCCTTTACCTGTGCAATATTGTATATGTGTGTGTGTGTGTAGACACACACACACAAAACACATATACAAGTAAATAATAATGGAAAAATCCTCTCAAATACTGTAATCAGAAAGAAATTTATTAAAAATGTTGAGTTTACCCTCAAATCTACTCCATGCTTTGTTATTAATAAAGCACAGAGTGGACTTGAGGCTAGACTCACCATTTTTAATAAATTTCTTTCTGATTACAGTATTTGTGAGAGGATTTTCCATTATTATTTATTTGTACAGGTATGTGTTTTGTGTGTGTCTACACACACACACACACACACATATATACAGGTTCTCCTCTACTTACGAACAAGTTACGTTCCTGAGGCTTGTTTGTAAGTCCAACTTTACTCTTGTAGAGACCAAACATATTGTAAAAAATGAAAAGATTATGGATATTTAATACAGCCTTAAAACCTGGCTCACTCTCCTCCTCTTACTGTAGGTAATATTTGTTCCATCTATAATTTTCTTCAAAATAATCCAGTCTCATCCACATTAAACACCTGTTCTGGCAGGTAACCCCCCTCAGTGATGATGTTTGTATCTCCGAAAGTTTGTAAGTTAAACGTTCTTAAGTAGAGGAATTCCTGTACAATACAGATAAAAGAAATGAAATAATTGTCTTAAGGGCAAACAGATAAAGGGAATAGTATACATTTCTTTGCACATAAGTAAAAATGTAAACCCCCCCGTCAGCAAATGTTATTCGCGGATTTGGCTATTCGCGGCCATTTTGAGAACCTAACCCCCGCGAATTTGAAGGGCATGCTGTAATATGATTCAATTCTTTTATCATTGCACCTTTCCCTCTCTTGTTCAGATTGGATCAAGTGTTACATATGCCTCACAGAAGGGGTTTGGTAATAGGGAAGAACTGTGCATAGCAAGTATGGAAAGTGACAGAAGGATAAGACAACAAAAAGAAATACCCAGAATCCTTTTAAAATTTTTGGTTGATGTAATATTTTTCAGGACAGGTAACTGGCCAGTGATGTTAGTGACCTCTTATTAGTTGTGTTATTACCATCTATTATGTATTGAAATGCACAGACCATTTTAGATTAATTGCTGACAATTATGTATAACTTCAGTATCTTAGAAACTAATTATAAGGTTAGAAAAAATTTATGTAATAATTATGTAATCTTTGTTGAGGAAATTTAATGTACAGAAAATCAAATGTATTAAATGTATAGCTTGATAAAAACTTTATGAATATAGAAAAACAAGGAACATTTAGTTTTCAAGGAAACATTCTTTAGGTGTGAAGCAGCTTGGAGACTTTCACAGTGGGAGTCCACAGAATTTGATGGAAAGAGTTCAGAAGATGAAACAGAAGATGGTGTTAATTTTCACCACCATATGTTACATGCCCTCCAGTCCCTCCATTATCAAGACTTTGGATCACTTCAGCAACAAACCCACCAGGCTAGACAAGGGGTCATAAGGCAACTCAAACTTGTAAGTTATGAACAAGATAATGGATACTGAAGTTTTTTCATCATCCATGTTTTTATTCTTACAGTTTATGTCCCCACCTTATCAGAAACAAACAAACTTGTAAATTCAACACATTAGAAGATGCCTGATCCACTATGTCAGTTTTTAAATACTGTACAGTTCATAAACAGAATACAAATAAATGAGGAAAACTTACTTATGATCTTCAATGCTTTGCAGCAGAAATGATGTTCTATGTACTGGGAATATCCACAGTATTTTACATTTGTTGACCCCCCCTGTCACCTCTTGCCACAGGGTAGCCAGCATCAAAGACAATACAGATTCCCTCAGTCACTGTCATTATACTTCTTAGCTGTCTCTATAATCGCTCACGGCATGACTGGGTTGATAGGGGAGTTAATCAAAGTCGTCCAGTATCACACGACAATGTTTATTCGGTCATACCTGGAAGTACATGTCCCACTGTCAGATGTAAGTACTAAACACGCAACAGCACCTTTATTTGGTGTATTCAACCAGAACATTACAATAATTTATTTCTTAAATTAGCTTAATCCTTCATACAACAACAATTACCGAACTCACTAGTGAACGGCCTGAGACTAAGCCGTGTGTGTGTACAGACTGCAGACGATTGTTGGTGAGTTATCACTGCACTGGACACTGTAAATTTTACCGTCACCAACTGTCACACTAAATCACTGATGCTTGATATTAGTTAGAAGTTCTCTCCATTACACAGAACTAGACTTCCCTGCTGCTCCACAGTAACCCACACACGGTCCTGAGTATAGCTAACAAACACACATCTCTCCATTATCTCATCACTGATGTACAATACTGGCCGCTGACCATTCAAAACACTACACCACCCATCTCTCTCTCTCTCTCTCTCTCTCTCTCTCTCTCATCACATTTTTCATGGGATGCGGTAAGAGTTGTAGCGTTATTATATAGTACAGTTACAGCATGGTTATTTATAGAGATGTTGTTATCCATAATTCATGTGTTCCATACATATGTTATTAACCGAGTAGTTTAATTAAGAATTGATGTACAGTACTGTTTTGCACAATACATGATTTTTAACTTGTGTATTTTATGTGTTGCACCAGAGTCGAGCAGAGAGCAGCAGTTCCATATATCCAGTACTGAGTCAGCTTCAGATTTTATCTGAACTAGAAGCAGCATCAGAGTGTCTTAACGACATCAACTTTCCAAACAAGGTTTGAAAAATTTGTTTTAATACATATACTAGAGCTTAGACCTCCATAAGATTTTAAAGTAGAAACCTATGTTTCTCACTGTTACTGCTATTGTTAGCTCCTTCTTTAGAGAGTCCGTGTTAGCAGCCCCTTAGTATCTGTATTGTAGTTTTCCCTTAGTATTTCAGTTTGCTTGTACATTTGTCAGTAGCTACCGGGAATACACTTGAAAATAATAAAGATGGTTTACTGACAGGACACTTATTATAGTCTACATGGTAGGGGTCTTGATTTTCATTTGTTTAATGACAGTTTTTTCTAGGCCTTTATTTCTTTGTAACACTTGGTTGATAATTTACTATCATTGAGCTCCATGTTATTTTCACTATGGTCAGTCTTTGCCAGTCTCTAGGACATACAACTATATTGATTGAATGTCACCTTTCATAAAAAGAAAGTACTTATACAGTACATATGAAATAATGTTTTGTTTTTTTTTCAGTTTAACACAAGCATCCAAAATTTAGAACATAGGTGGATGTCAAAGAAGACTCTGGCTACTGTTGAGTACAAGTATAAAGAACTCATTCTGGCTGCTAGAGTATCTACACTCCGGTCACTAACACCTCGAGACAAGGAAGGCCACATCAACAGAATTCTCCACACAACTCTGGTATGCCTTACCAAACTCTGGTGTACACTTCGTAATACAGATCTACCTTCCCAATTACAGTTTCCTCCATCATAGTTTCCATTTCCCTGTTTTATCAGTGGTGATGGTGGACTTTAGGCAATAGATGGTTCAATTATGGTGTAAATTTTTTTATATTATTAACTATTCCCTTAAAGCTTGCGGGGGTTAGGTAAAATGGACCCCACGAGAAAGCCAAATCAGCTAGTTTTTCATGCTGGTTCCTGGAGTGTGCAAAATACAGTACATATAAATAGCTATGTGCACAAGTATGACAACATTATGTACACTTATCCCTTAAACTACGAGGGTTTAAATAAAATGGCCCTCGCCCCTCTGTGGATTACACTACGGGTTGTATAGGGAGCAAGGGAAGTTGTGTACTGTGTCTGACAGCTTCCACTACTGGCCACGAGGGTCTCTACCGCTCCCCGTCCCACCTTAGGGAGGGAGAGGGTAATGCATGGTGCCATTGTTACATATAATGAAACTATAAAAGTTGTGGCAAAAATCATTTCAATACTCTAATGTGACTTAGAAATAAAGAAACTATGCTGTAATATAATACAGTATTACCCCGCTTTACACGGTTTCATTTTCCGCGATTTCTCATTTACGCGGTACCTTGCCACTAGAACCGGACTTTCACTTTCCGCGGTGCATCTACTCATATACCGGTGAAGTATAATGTATTTTTTATTTTTTTTTATTTAGCACATAAAGTTCATACAAATTACCCTGCCAGAATATAATTTACATTGCTGGAATTCTTGCAATATGATGATCATTTTGAATATAAACATCATGGATTTTGCATTAGACATACAAATTTTAGATCTAATGTAATAATTTGGTTTACAACAAAGCAAATATTTTATCATTTGTGCAAAATATATGAAGTTTACATTCAAAATATTCCCTGACCTGCAAGGAATCCAGAGATGTCAATTATATTATCCTAACTTTACTCTGGGTTATTATTTATTACTAAAAATGTAAATACAGTCAACCCTCACTTTACGCGGTTAATTCAACCCACGGCGGCCCGCGTAAAGTGAACAACATAACATATGGGATTAATTTAAATAGAGACTGGGCCGACCCCCAAACTTCACTTTTTCCCGACACAATACGTACGTTTTACTAAAAATAACATCTTAACTTTATGATGGTATTCACAAACACATAATATAGAAAGGAACAGTCAATAAACTGAAGGTTAGGTTAGAAAAAACAAGGTTGGGGTTAACACTTACGTTAGTAGAAGAGATGGGTCGGCGTACGGGAATGGAGGCTGGTTCCGAGGCAGAGGGCAGGCTACTGGCCCTCAGGTGAGTCATCATCACTGTCATCCACACTTGTCAGGGTCTCCCTGACAAATCCCTCAAAGTCATCATCACTGTCTCTACCTCTGTCACTATCACTGGCTTGGGCTGGCTGTGGTGGGTTGCGGGCGAAGAACTCTGTTATGCTTTGCTGACGGCTGGTGTTTATGTTGTCGTGATAAACCTTGATGTAGGACTCCGTAGTCTGCAACAGCTGGGTAGTGAAGATTTCATACCCGTTTGCGTCAGGGTCGTCGGAAAGGAGGAGCTTGACTTTCTCGATACACTCGATGGCACCCCTAACATTACTATGGGATAAGCGGCGTTTTTCTTGGGATGACGCACCACCTGCCTCTTCACTGACGTCATCATCATCTACCATCTTGTCGGTAGTCACATCAGGATCCCTTATCACCTCCAGGATGTCGTCGTTGGTGGTCTCGGAGAAGCCTGCAGCTGTAACACTCTGCGCAGCTTCTCTGGCAAGGTCCACTGCTACTGCAACAGTCTGAACCTCACCAGTCACAGATTGACTCTGCCTAACGGCCGGAATGCCTTGCAACACATGTCTCCATGCGTGACGAACAGTTGCTACAGACAGCTGATCCCATGCCTCCACCAAGAAGTCCACAGCTTTCTTGATGTTGAATATTCTCCAGAATTGCTTTAAAAGTACTTGTTGCTCTGCCAACTGTTGATCCTCGTCGTCTTCGCTCTAGCTATCGGTGGCCCGGGTGATGTTCCTTAACGTTCACTGAGGTGGCCCGGGTGATGTTCCTTAACGTTCGCTAAGGTGGCCCAGGTGATGTTCCTTAACGTTCACTAAGGTGGCCTGGGTGATGTTCCTTAACGTTCACTGAGGTGGCCCAGGTGATGTTCCTTAACATTCACTAAAGTGGCCGGGTGATGTTCCCAACATTCACTAAGGTGGCCGGGTGATGTTCCGTTCACTAAATTTCCTCACCGTTCACTAAGGTGGCCCCAGGTGATGTTCGCGTTCACTGAGGTGGCCCAGGTGATGTTCCCAGTTCACTAAGGTGGCCCGGGTGATGTTCCTTAACGTTCACTAAGGTGGCCCGGGTGATGTTCCTTAACGTTCACTAAGGTGGCCCGGGTGATGTTCCTTAACATTCACTAAGGTGGCCCGGGTGATGTTCCTTAACGTTCACTGGGGTGGCCCGGGTAACGTTCCTTAACCCTTAGACCTCAGTTGACATTCCAGAACGCACGCCTTTTCCCGCCACTGTATAAATGCCCAGCTCAGGTTATCAGGTTCCTGTGTGATTATTTACCTGTCACGACCACACCTCGGCCACAGGGAAGCTTCCTGAATATAATTATCTACTTTTGTTTGTTTCATTTTCATTGTTTGTCCATTTCATCGTGTTTGTATCAAAGTAATATTGCTAAAAGTAGTGTAGTTGTATTGTAGTGTAGTATTACTGGAAACAATGCTATGATTGTTATAAATGTATTTATTTTTGGAATTATTATTATTTTATATATTACTTTCTCTACCTAACACAAAGACAGCCAGAGAGCTGGTGACAGACTGCTGTGTGTCACCAAGCACTTTTTTATAAATACACTTAATGCAAAAAAATTAAATTTAAATTAATTATTTATAGGAGATACGTATTATGATCAGTAAATATATACATTATTGGTCACTTCGGACACAAAGACAAGCTAAAAATAGCCCTCTTATCTCCCCCCCCCCCCTTACACGGTCAGAGGGAAACTTCTTGGTAAATAACTTCTTTTGTTTGTTCATTTTCATTGTTTGTCTATTTTATCATGTTGCATCAAAGTAATATTATTAAAATTTGTGTGTATGTGTGTCGCTGAGAACTTCTTATGAATAGTAATGCAAATAAATAAAAGTAAATTAATTATTTATAGGAAATAAGTATTATGATCAGTAAATAAATGCATTATTGGCCAACTCGGACACAAAGGCAATCAGGAAAATTACCCTTAACTGCCTAGTAATAGCGAGTGCTCGTAAAAAAAAAAAAAAAAACCTTTTTCCTCGAATCCACCCAACTGTACAATATATGCTCAAACTTAACTGCCTTGAGCAGATTGATGATGTCGCCTCTTCTCTTACGACCTCCCTCCCTCCTATCCTCGTCTACTGTGATGGGTCTGTCACCACGCTGGGCTGCGCTGGGGCAGCTGTATGGATTCCTGAGCGCCAGGCCCGCAAGAAAATCAGGGTCCACGACTGGGCCTCCTCCACTGACACTGAAAGCATAGCCATCCTCGCGGGCATTCATGAGGGGGCGACCTATGCTCGCACTGAACGCCGGAACCTCCTGATAATCAGTGACAGCACTTCTGCGCTAGCGAGGCTCAAATTACCCTCCCCCTCCTCCCCTGCCGCCCAACACACCCTAGCCGCCGTCGCCAGGCTAGAACAAACTGATGACATCCGTGTCAAGTTTATTTGGATCCCGTCACATATAGGAATAACTGCCTGTGACACTGTTGATCGACTTGCCAAAGAAGCGACACAAGAAGAAGATATTGAAGCCACCCTCGCCCTCTCCCTGAATCATCTCAAATCTCGCATACACGCCACACAACGAGAAGCATTCGACGTAAAATGGACACACCTGAAACAACGGGGCAGCGTCACACTATGCCACTATGACGCTGTAACCGGTGACTCCAACCGCCACTACAAAGAGTATCAATCTCTGACTCGATCTCAACAGATTATATACATGAGACTGCGCCTAGGGTACAGGTACCTATGGGAGTACATTGGCAACCCTGAGCCTGGCCGCACTGTTTGTAAACTTTGTGGTCAACCCGACTCTCACACCCTCCGTCACTACATCCTCACTTGCCCTATGACCTCCTCCTACAGGTCCCCAGCCGTTACCAACACCTCTTCCCTCCCTGACCAGATATCCCTCCTCCTAGTCACAGGCCTGGCACTTGACATTATAAGGGACCTGCCACGCTTTGCTATAAACAGATGAAATGTACCGGGAATTCCCCCCCCCCCCCACACTCATCATTCTGTCACTTTATGTAACTTGCTGTTAAAACCCATGACCCTTCAGGCTTCCACGCCCTTAATGCATGAGTCATAAAGGCAAGCATGAACTCCACATGCTTCCCAGTTGGGCACTGTAAATGCTTCTGCGCTTCACCTTGCACAGGATGTAAGGGGGTGCCCAATAAACTAGCCCCCTCCGGGGCAATCTGTAATCTGTAAACCTTTCCCCTTACTTGTCTGGTCACTGAGGTGCCATGGTAAAATATAGAGGGACAATGTATAGTTTCTCTTGTCTTTTTTATTGTTTTATCATTTATAAAAGTTAATTTTTCTTCTCTTGCCCCGTGTTGGGGGTATTGCCGGCGGCACCCTAAGCTGGGGCGTAAGGGTTAAAATTGAGAAAAAGTGTGATATTGTTAATTTTTTAAAAAATATTGACAGCATGGCAAAAACCAATGGCAGATTCGTAACCAGCATGTCTAAATTAGTAAAATAACATATCAAAATCAGCTTAAAAAGTTTTTGCACAGTGTTATATACCATCAGTTTAGCATGTTTGTGTACTGGACATTTAACTTGTAAATTTTATCAATGTGTATGTTTTGTGAATAGTAAATGCAAATTTGCTTTGTTTTCTGTAAATTATTTAATGCTGAATATATACTTTTCTTTTGTTCTCAGATAACCAAGAGCTTTCTCTCCCGTCAAAATCGGAAATTGGGAAGTAGCTTTGGAAGTGAATCAGCTCTATTGTCTGCCTCAAGATTGAACGTTCCCCAAAATCTGGCTTGGAAGACACGCCTGGAAGAAGCAGAAGTAGCCAAATTTCATGGAGACATACAACATTCTTCACAAGTCCTAAATTCTCTTGTTGAGGAAATTCAACAGGTAAATGCCAGTGAATAAATGAATGAACTTTGAATTGGGAAGTGTTTGTTGCTCTTGATTTTTGTCACTGAACATGATAATGGGAAAGGGATAGCAAGATTCAGTCAGAAATGCTTTTAATTTACTGTCAGCACTGCACAGTTACTTACTTACAAAGTATATCTGTTGGTTTTATGTTCTTAAATCAGTTGAGAGTACAGTAAACCATCTCAATAAAGGACATCACTTTGTCTGGTATATTTAGTGAACTCAGCCACTATGATCCAAACATTGTTTGTTATTAACTATGTGCAATGCTCTTAAAATGTCTTAAATAAGCTCACCAAAGTGATGGTATTGACTGGACTAGTGCAAAAAAAAAAACAGAGCTTAGACTCAAAGATGTTCTGTAGTGGTAATTCTAAAAAAAATACTTGGAAACTCCATGACCCAAAATTTTGGATACCTGATATATGATATGTGTTTTGGTGGTCAGTAATGATGTACCCGGTATTAATTTTTTTGTATATATACTGTATTTGGTGGAAAAAGGTAATCCTCCCAATAAGGGACAGATCTTGTACTGAAGTGAAATCCTCTTTCAGTTGCAGCATGACTGTCTCAATGAAAAAAACAGTGCGCCTGTAATAGGAGTATGCATTCTCAAATAATCTTCTGAATGTATTGTCAATTCTGTACATTTACAACACATACAAGCAATCCTTCACACTGTCAAATGCTTGTACCAGATCTATCTCAACACCTTCCATTTTCCGAGATAGAGGTCTCTTAACATTTGAAATAGCTGATAGAACCTCCATACTTACAAGGAAAGAATCTGATGTCAAACTCTTTAAGAAAGCTACAGATTTTCCCACTAAAGTTGAGTCCTTTGATGCAGAGAGGTCTTCTATTGCCTTTACAACCGCTGGATACAGTGCTTTGAGTGGACTCTTGAGACTCAACCCACAAGGCAGTGCTTTTTTCAGTCTACTATGAGAATCAGAAGGACAGTTATTTTACTTTGAGTGTGAACTACTCTCACACCCTAATGTAAAAGGTTTCCATCATTCAAAGAAAGAAGTTGCAAAGGAGTAGTAGTGGTGAGAAAGAGGGGGGCATGGCTGGGTGCTCTCCCTCTCCCATATACAACACTGGTGGGTGGTATGAGGTACTGGTGGGTGGTATGAGGCTCTGGTGGGTGGTATGAGGTACTGGTGGGTGGTATGAGGTACTGGTGGGTGGTATGAGGTAGTGGTGGGTGGTATGAGGCTGTGGTGGGTGGTATGAGGTTCTGGTGGGTGGTATGAGGTAGTGGTGGGTGGTATGAGGCTGTGGTGGGTGGTATGAGGTTCTGGTGGGTGGTATGAGGTTCTGGTGGGTGGTATGAGGCAGGTGGGTGGTATGGGGTTCTGGTGGTGGTGTGGTGATGGTGGGTGGTAAGGAGGTAGTGGTGGGTGTGTGAGTGAGGTAGTGGTGGGTGGTATGAGGTTCTGGGGTGTGGTAGGGGGTGGTGTGAGGTAGTGGTGGGCGGTGTGGGCGGTGTGAGGTAGGTGGTGGTAGTGGTGGAGGTAGTGGTGGGCGTGGTGTGGAGGAGGTAGTGGGGCAGGTGGAGGTAGTGGTGGGCAGGAGGTAGTGGTGGGCTGTGAGGTAGTGGTGGGCAGGTGTGGTAGGGCTGTGTGGGGGCAGTGGGGAGGTAGTGTGGGTGTGAGGTAGTGGTGGGCAGAGGTGTGGAGGTGGTGGGCAGTGGTGGAGGTAGTGGTGGGCTGTGTGGGTAGTGGTGGGCAGGTAGTGGTGGGAGGTAGTGGTGGGCTGTGTGAGGTAGTGGTGGGCAGGTGTGGGCAGTGTGAGGTAGGTGGGCGGTGTGAGGTAGTGGTGCCAGGTAGTGGTGCCATTTGAATTATAACTAAAGTGTTCATATGCAGTATTCATAATCAACATCAGTGTTTTTTTACCTGGAAAATGGCTGTAAAACATTGATGATGACTGTGAGGATTTTTATGAATGGCTTTTAAATATATTTATTAGATATGTTGAGTAATAATGGAAACCCTACATGTTTGCATGAAATATGGTTGATATAATGGTGGTCACTTTCTTTCCTTTGTTCTTTTGTGAAGGTGGCGCCACATGTTGAAGAAAGTAAAATAATGTGCCGGGTACTGAATCTCTATGGTTGTGTGCTGATGGACTCAAGAACCAAACCTCCACAAACTGTTTTCCAAGATTATTTCCAAAGAGCTGTTGATATTTTGCAGACTTGTAACAGTAAGTATTCTTTGTGGATTTCTACTCTCATATACAGTGGTCCCTTGGTTAACGAACACAATTCGTTCCAGTAGGTTGTTCGTTAACCGAAAATTTCGTTAACCGAGTTCATTGTTTCAATGGGATTTTGGGTAATTAGTTCCAGCTCACCGAATATTACATATAGTAAAAAAAAAATGCAATAAGGTACACTTACTTTGAGGTGTGTATGTAGAAGGCTCCTGGTTGATGATGCTGATGTGAATTTGAAGTTGAAGGAGGAGAAGGGAGAAGAGAAGGAAGTGGGGGTGGAGGAGAAACATTTTACTGCTTCTTGGAAGGCGAGTCACCTCCCATAAAAATGTCAGGAACCTCTGGACTGACAGATTCTCCAGCAGGAAAATCCTCTTGCCTTTTTGAAGTGGAAGGCAGAGGGGTAGCATCTTTCTCCCGCTGCCTCTTAGAGAAGAAACTGTCAATTTTTGTTTGTGGGGCATTTCTCATCCTCATCATTAACTGATTTTTGAAGGAGACCACTCTGTCCTCAACATTACACAAAATAGGTTCTGTTGTTTCCACATCAAGGTGCCTTGAAGCCAGTTTCCTGAACTTCTCCCAGTAGTGAACAACATCCTTCAAATCTGAAGAAGACATATGGTCATCACTTTCCCTTTCCTCCTCACCACTGTCAGCCTCTAACATCTCATCCAGTTGCTGCAAGTCTTCAGGAGTAAGTTCCTGCTCATGAGACATCACAAGCTCTTCTACATCATCCTCCTCCACTTCGAGGCCCATTGACTGACCAATGGACACAATCTCCTTGTCCAACTCTGCTTCTTCCTCAAATCCCTCAAAATCATGGACTGCTGATGGCCACAGTGCTTTCCATGCAGAATTGAGGGATCTAATGGAGGCTTCTCGCCATGATGAGACAATCAATTTTACAGCCTCCAGGATGTTAAATTGTGTCTTCCAGAACTGTGCCAGTGTTAGTTCAGGATCAGTGGAAGTTGCCTGATAACACATCCTAAACATTTTCTTCATGTACAGCTTCTTGAAGTTGCTGATCACATTCTGGTCCATTAGCTGTATGATTGATGTAGTGTTGGGAGGCAGAAACAACACTTTGACAAATTCAAATCGAGCCTCCAAAGTGCTGGCAAGTTCAGGGTCATGACCAGGGGCATTATCCATAAGGAGAAGAGCCTTTAAAGGGAGTTTATTGGTGGTTAGGTAGCTCTTCACAGAAGGGCAAAACACCTCAACAGCCCATTCATTAAAGAGCTGTCTTGTTACCCATGCCTTACAGTTGGACTTCCAATAAACTCCAAGTTATCCTCTTAACACCTTTTGTTGCTTGAACACCCTGGGGTTCTCAGAGTGGTAGACAAGCATAGGCTTTAGTCGGAAATCCCCTGAAACATTGGCACCAAGCAATAATATTTTTGCATGTTTTATATTAGAATTATTAGTCATTTTAAAATTTAATTAACATATTGATAATATATGCAGTACAGGGAACTAGTTAGTTGTGCACCCATCAGATGCGTGATTCGCTCACAAGGCGTCAGTTGAGACTTTGAAACTGTGGAGAGAGCATCTATTTTGTTGGTGTCTTGAATGTTTTTGCATTTTTCATTGAAATTATTGGTCATTCTGAACTTTAGTTAACATATTGATATTTTACAGTGCAGTGCAGTGTTGATTTAAAGAAAATAATCTTGAATTACACCAAGTGAACTTAAAATTTTATGGGTGAAATGATGGCTTGAAGCATAGGTCCAAAGAAGGTGAATTTTCGTCCATCCCCACTTCCTTTTCTTCTCCCTTCTCCTCCTCCCCTACTTCTAATTCCCATCATCATCAACCAGGAGCCTTCTACATACACACCTCAAAGTAAGTGTACTTTACTGCATTTGTATATACTTTTCGGTGAGCTGGAACCAATTACCCAATATCCCATTGAAACAATGGATTCGGTTAACAAAATTTTCGGTTAACGAATGACCTGGAACGATTTGTGTTCGTTAACCGAGGGACCACTGTATTATTCAATCATATTGTATAAGGTGCATTCAGGAACATTATTTAAAGAATATAGTTTGCACATTTCGTTAATTGTATTGTTTTGGGGGAAAAGAGGGTAAAAGGCCACACAAAAGATATGAGAAGGTCACACTTGGGAACGCATCTCATTATTATTGCTTTATTTTAATGGTAATTAATGATTCGCTATAAGACGATTCACCTTACACTGCAATATTGGAGGACACATTAACATCTTTATTGGAGGCTTTACTGTACTGTACTGTATTTTCTCTTTTCACTCATAGTACTGTAGGTTTTAATGAAATGTTCAGTCACAATACAAATTATACTGTAAGCACAACCAACTGTTACCACACATTGTCCAAGCTACCAAAACAAAACAAATTCTTCCCGCTAACTGTTCAATACGTTCCTGATATTCTCCCCGGACTTTCCCCTCTAACTGTTCAATACGTTCACCCTCTCTTATTACTGTGTTGATATTTTTCAGGAGATGTGGAAGCCAACAAAGTTTTAGAAAATAGTTACCATTTGTGGGCTACGTTTGGTAACAAACTTTACCAAGAGGTTCACAAGCTTCTAGAATCAGACACTATTCAGACTAAAAAAGATAACATCATGCGGTCCAGAGAGGAAAGCAGTCGTGTGAGGAGTCTTCTGGAAAAGATAAATGAGGAGAAAGAAGCGAAAGAGTTAAGCAAGTGAGTGTGCCATTCACAAATGTCCTTGAAACATAGGGATGGTTGTTTTCAGTGAGACACAATGCCATTACCTGATAAGAATTTTTCCTGTAAATGCTTCAGATGTTGTTAGGGGTCTTTGACTAAACAAAATGAGGCTCTTCTATGTTACTTTAGTGATTGTTTACTTTACAGGTCTGTTGTCACTGCCTCTTTTTCACAATATCTAGGAGGCATCATGTGGAATTAATTTTGTCTTCTTTCTTTTTGACAATTATTGATTGAATCTGTGTCCACCAAACCAATTATCAAACATGTTGCAGGTTGTGCATAACTCTCAGTACTGTATGGGAATCTTAGACACGATGTGTCAAAAGAATAAAAACTACTGTATTGAAGATTGAGACTATTTTGGGGGTAGGTGTCATCTTGGAACTTATGCTTTTGTACCCAAGTGATGGCTGCAAGGGCAAATTCTCACCCTCTCACGCATTATGACACAAATCGCGTCAAATCATTGGGTAACACTATTTGCATCGTTGACACCAATTGCATCATTAAGCTTGAAATTTTTTTTAGAAAAAAATCAAGACAACTGAGTCAAATTTTTGTGCATCATAGATGACTGTATGATCTTGTGAGGGAAGCTTCCAGAAAGTACCAAAGTGTGAGTGGAGTTCCGCTGTCCATCAGTTTCCTGCCATCAGCCGTGCTGAAAGGTCACATTTGTCTCTTTATTTCCTCTCTCTTCCTCCACACTATTAGTTATATAAAAATTCCAAAGCCACCATTATAAAGCTCATCAAATTCTACCTCTAGAACTCTATAAAATTTGACATATGATGCTGGGAATGCATGTAATTTTTCTTTATTCATTGTGAAAAATTATATGGTACAGTAGCCTTATTTGCATCTTATTTTTTCTCCTTATGTCAGAGCTAAAACAATAACACAGCTAATTATGTATAAATCACCAAAAGAAAAAATTTCTTGTGGGATAAATTGGCCATAAAACAAAGATGACCAGACCTCACCTGAGTGGTCCCATTTGAATTTTGTGGTAGTCACGGGAACTTAAAAACTTGCTGTCTGCGTGAAAGGGTTAGTAACTAAGCCACCGCGCACACTTGTCACTTGTATAAGAGAGAGAGTGAAGCAACATTGTGGCAAAGAGAAAGGGAAGAGAGATTGTCAACTGAAGAAGGAGAGTTAATAAGATGAAATGCCTTTGATTCCCTTATAAACCTGAAGAACTGCTCAGGAGCAAAGTAGCTACAGCATCTGTGCAGCATTCTTAGCTTTTGGGAGGCAGCTTTAGCAATGATGTAGACATGTGGCTTCCATGACATATTAGAGGAAATGGTGAGGCCTAACATTTATATTTTAGAATTTAGCAAAATGATTGCATGCTGAAATGGGATTGGTGGGAGGTCTTCTATTTTGGAAAGTGTAATTGGTAATTACTGTGTATTCGTACTACAGGTATACCCTGAAAACCAACGTCCCGATAACCGCCGATTTGCATTACCGATGATTACATATAGGGGAAATACTCCACAAGTTTTCATTGATACCCTGGAGCTGTTTTGAATTTGACGTACAGTGGCTTGGTGCGAATTCTTGCCACGAGAGGGCTTTGCGCTCTGCCTCTGACTCATTCCCGCCTCTCTCTGACTTGTCTTTTTTGTTATTTCTGCCTTTGTGTGTTACTCAATCATGCCTAAGCACCCTAGATAGTTCCTCTTGTGCTGGGTAACTTGATGTGATGTGATAAGGTATAATAAAGAGTGGTGATGGACCAGCAAAGAGTGGTAGAGACTTGAACCTGTCACCCTAGACTTTCTCAACCCTCGTCAACACGGGTAAATAACAGTCTCAATTTATTCTTTACATTTCAAATTTAACGCATATTGTGCTTGCTTTTTATGTATGCTTTATTTTCTTGCTTGACTGTTTGTGCATGACAAAGATATACCAAGGGTAGATGGGATTTTTTGGGGGTGGCTAGTCCCTAACCTCCTTGAGTTCGTTATATTCTTAAGGAATTAAATGCTTCGGTAACAATTGATTCACTAACCAACCTATTTATGGTCCCTATATGAGTTTGTTATCAGGATACTGTATGCTCGTATTGAATTTGACCAAATTTGTACCTCCCCATTCGGAGATGCTGCACAGATCTGCATTGATAGACAAAATGACATCAGCTCTAGAAACAGATCTACAGCTGCTCCCCGACTTACGACGGGGTTAGGGACCCAAATCCAGGTCCTAAGTCCGAATGGTCGTAAGTTCGACATAAAAAAAAAAAAATTAAATAGAAAATCTACAATGAAATACAGTACAGTGAAAGTAATAAATAATGAGGAATGGATACAGTGTGACTGAGTCAGCCGAATGCACATGGGGCCCCCATAATTTCCTAATTATACATGGAGACTACATTAACTGGAAACGTTTCGGTATAGAAAATGCGCGTGTCATTTGAAAAAAAAAATGGTCACAACTGCGGCGGTCGTAAGTCCCGACGGTCGTAAGTCCAAGCAGTCGTAAGTCGGGGACTACCTGTAGTTTGAGAGTTAAGAGGAAGGGAAAAATGTGAAGGGTGAAGAGTAGAATCATCAGCGTAAGAATGGATAGAAGTGGTAGTAGTGTGAAGTAAATCATTGATAAACTGAAGGAAGAGAGTTGGTGAAAGAACAGAACCCTGCGGGACACCACTATTGGTAGAGAAAGAGCGAGAGATCGATCCCTCGACAACAACTGCCATGGATCGGTTCTCAAGGAAGATAGAGATTAGAAAACAAAGTGGGGAGAGAAACCATAAGAGGGAAGTTTAGAAAGCAAAGACTTGTGCCACACCCTGTCAAATGTTTTGGAGATATCGAGGGCCACGACGAAAGTTTCCCCATAATCCCTAAGAGGGGACGACCAAAGATGGGTGCAGTAGGAGAGCAGATGACCAGTAGGTATCGCCTGGCGAAAGCCATACTGGTGATCCGACAAAAGAGAATGGCGTTCAAGGTGACGGAGAAAATGGGAGTTTAAGATAGTTTCAAAATTCTTAGAGAGGGATGAAGCCACTACTTTGGTCACATTTCAACCAATCATGTAAGCGATAACCACGCTCACAAGACCCGCATAAAATGAGACCCCCCACTGTACTCACCATCTTCTCCCTCTTCTCTACAATTGAAATTCATACACACAATGTCTTTGTGGCACTCACTGAGGTTCCAGACTCAGTGCTTTCCATAATTTTGTGGGCGTTGACATGTAATGTCCAGATGATACTCCAAGCACTCGACTGACATCAGCTATGCATTCTCCTCTCAGTGCAGCTTATTACGTCTAATTTCAGTCCAATAGTAATGGTCATTTGCTGTTTCTTGGGCTGGGTGGCACCATTGGATGTAGATGGGCATTTGCTAGTCATAATAAGGGCAAAAAGGTACAAAACACTACGTGGATCATCACGAGAAAAATGATCACTCTCACTCCAACAATGGTCAGTGGATGCTACTGCTTGGTGTGTGATCATGCCATGGGTGTCATAGCTCACTGGCATCTTTTATTCAACTATGCTGCCAGTCCTGCCAATCATCACAGACTGATTAGCATATAATTCAAACTGCGTAAATCCCAAAATATGTCCACATAAATTAAAAAGATGGTATAAATACAACGCCAGCATTATTCCAGAAACACGTACAGTCAGTTCCGCTATAACGCGATAATTGTGTTCTTATAAAACTTCGCGTTGTAGAAATTCGCGCAATATAAATAACAGGGCTTATGGAGAAAATAGGGTTAGTTGCAGATTACTCGAAATAAAAAAAAAATTTAGTAGTTAGCCTAACACAAAGGATAGCACAGTCTAAATAAATGTTACATTCTTATCTAATAATGAAATCATGCAGTAAATGTAACACTTTACCTTGAAAAAATATGAATATAACTTGATGGAGGAGAAGGGTGATGTTGAGGTTGATAACATCAAGCTTCTCTTTAAGTGTTATAGCCTTTCTTTAACGATCACCACCGGGAATGAGATCACCAGAACGCTTCTTGGAGATATTCTTCTTTTCCATATTCACAGTTAATACCACAAAATTGGAGAAATAGTAAGCAAAAATCAATGAGGACGCTTCAAAACAAGCCACGTGTTTCAACTGATCATGTGATGGAAACAGAGAGCGCGGGTGTAAAACGCTATTAGTCCGCACTGCGAAACATTATACAGTATATATTTTTTTTTTTCATACAGTATTTATGGGAACAGCTAAATTTGCAAAAAAGGATGAAATTTATAGTCCCTATCAAACAACACTTCACAAACAAAACACATGAATCAATTGAACATGTGATGTCAAACGTGTACTGTAAACAGTGCATAACCCCGCGCCAAGCGACGGTACACTTAAATCGTTCGAGTGGAATCGCGTTACAGCCAACAAGCGTTCGCGTTTTACAAATATTGTTCTTCTATTCATCAATCACAATATAGCCAATTCGCGTTGACAAAACACGCGTTGTAGCAGAAATCACTGTACAGTACTGTAAATGAAATCCGTGTAAATCGAGAGGCTGCTGCATCTTGACAGACTGACATAAAATGCTAAAACCCCAAGTGAACAGGTACTTCAACATTAGACAATAATTCTATCTCATTTCCTTACTAATTTTTTACAAGACTAACTCCGCGGTTGCGCCGAGAGCGGGCACGAGCTGGCAACACTGCATGCCTGCTCCCGTCCACTCTCGCCTGCCCGCTCTCAGTGCAGCCGCGGCCTTAGAATTGTTTCATAATTTATGGACATTATTTTATTGTCTATATCACCACAATGTTTCATATAAAGCTCCTCCCCGACTTACGACGGGGTTAGGGACCCAAATCCAGGCCGTAAGTCGAAAATGCTTAAATAATACATAGAAAATCTAAAATGGGTCTCTTTTTCTTCTCAGCACCACAAAACTCTCACTTTTAAGCTTGCCAGCCATTTTAAAGTGAATTACAAACAAAGATTTTGTCTGTGTACTGACGTTGGGACTCGAAAATACATAATTTGACACCATTTTGGTACGACTGAGGCAGGTCGTAGGTTCGGGTGGTCATAAGTCGAGTAGGTCGTAAGTCGGGGAGGAGCTGTACTGTCTAAAATTATTATGTATTAGATATAAATTGTTAAGCTATAACTACAAATAATAAGTTTATTGTATAGAACAAGATAAAAGAGTTTAGAATAATTTAGTTCACTATAATGACGATAACTGACTTTGCATCGTTTGATACTCACTACCTGTATATTGATTCTTTCTTTTTTGTTTCCAGAAAGCTTAGTATCTTGGAAAGGAATATCAAGATTGACTGTAATGTCCTCCAGGAGCTGGAGAAACAAAAAGATGTATATCTTTATTTGGCAATGAAGAACTATTTTCAGTGCCTTTTGATGTCAAGTAAACATAACATGCACATCTATAGACTTGTGGGCCTATGGCTGGAAAACTCTAATGAGGAGAAGATCAATGAATTGGTTAGTATGATAACTTGAGTAGCTATACAAAATAATTAAGTCACTTGGAAGTATCAGACCTTAAAGTTAATGAAGGTTTTATGGCCAGAGAAGAGGGGTTCAGCACAATGGCTCTGAAGAGGATGGTTTTTGTGAGGGTGTAATGGTCAGTAATGAGGGTCATGATTACTTTGAAATTCCAAACCTGAAATATAGTTATGACCTGTGAAATCACCTACCAGAACAACCCTCGAACATCTGCCTTGTCCAGAGGCTAATCTGCATTCATGGGTCATATGTATTGCTCATTTAGATGATAATACTGTTCTATAATCTTTCACAAAGAGCCACTTACCTGTTTGTGGCTGCCCCCTCAGTTGGAATAAGGCATTGTAGATAAAAGAAAAGGAGGATATAAAAACTGTATTTGGTCAAAAACTGATTAATTCAGTGTATTAATGAATATGTTTTAATCTAAAAGTATTGAAGGTTAATTTTCTGCCTTCCAAGGGGTTCTTGAATACTAATATCTTCACTTTCTAGGTTTACAAAAATCTGATTCAAATACTCCACAATTTTCACATCATTTATGTCATGTGAGGGGTATATAGGACCCTCCCTGTAGACACGTGCTTCTTCTTTCATTGTCTTGATTCACTGAAAGTATCCAGATGGAATTATTAAAACATCTTACAACAAAATCATTTATATTATTAGAAAATTAAAATGTTAAAAACAATATTACTATTCTGTGCAGTATATGTGTGTGTGTTCAGTATGTCTAGGAGGGGTGGGGTGGTGGGGGGATCACTATTTCTAATTTTCTTTTAATACAAAATTTGTAAAATAATTCTTGATATAGCATATTCTAATACTGTATCATATACAAATCTTAGATGCAGTTCCACAACCATTACAAAAGCCTGACTCAGGGTACTAAGATGGGTTACCATTTTATTGCTTGGAAGTTATTGACGGGATATTTCCTAAGGTGTTGGCTTACAGTACAGTGGTCCCTCGGTTAACGAAATTTTGGTTAACGAATTACCTTCCATAAGAGTCTTCATTTCGGTTAACAAACAAAAATTTGGTTAAAGAACAAAAATTCGGTTAACGAACAAAAATTCGGTTAACGAAATTCTTACGAAAATGTTTCGACATGCTTTGGCTTGTTCACCAGTTGGAAGATTAGTCCGCCAATACAGAAATCGGTTCTAGGGCTTACATTCGTTAAAATTGGAGTAAATATCAAGAAGGTTGTACTATTCAATAATTTTCCAAGTTTTATATTAAAATTTTTAGTCATTTTAACAATTATTTAACATAATTGCAGCACAGGGAACTAGTTTTTGGTGTTCCCATCAGCCTCTTCACTCATCCACCAAGGCCTCAGTTGGTGTCTCTGGTCAGTGGAGGAAACATCTTGCTTGTGGGTCTCTTGAACACAGAGTATTTTTACATTTTTACAGTACAATTATTGGTCATTCTCAAATTTATTTAACATATTGACAATATTTAGTGCAGTGCAGTGTTGATTTGAAGAAAATAATCTTGAATTACACCAAGTGAACTTAAAATTTTATGGGTGAAATGATGGCATCAAGCATGGGGTGTCTTCTCTTCCACCCCACTGCTTTCTCTTCTCCCTTCTCCTCCACCCCCACTTCTAATTCCCATCATCATCATCAACCAGGAGCCTTCTACATACACACCTCAAAGTGTACTTTACTGCATTTACTTTTACTTTGTACAGGTAGTTCTGCTATAACGCGATAGTTGTGTTCTTGTAAAACATCGTGTTATAGAAATTCGCGTAATAGAAATAACAGGGCTTATGGAGAAAATATGGTTAGGTGCAGATTACTCCAAATCGAAAAAAAAATTCGTAGTTAGCCTAACACAAAGGATAGCACAGTCTAAATAAATGTTACATTCATATCTAATAATGAAATCATACAGTAAATGTAACACTTTACCTTGAAAAAATATGAATATAACTTGATGGGGGAGAAGGGTGATTTTGAGGTTGATAACATCGAGCTTCTCTTCAAGTGTTATAGCCTTTCTTTTACGATCACCACCGGAAATGCGATCACCAGAGTGCTTCCCAGAGATATTCTTCTTTTCCATAGTCACAAAATTGGAGAAACAGTAATCAGAATTCACTGAGGACGCTTAAAAACTTCACATGTGTTTCAAACTGAAAGTGTGGCGTAAACAGAGCGCACGGGTCTAAAATGCTATCTATTTTGTTTTTCTTTCATTTAAAATTTTACAATTTACATATACTGTACAGGTATACTGTATACATAAATATTACATAAATTATTTCTCCAATTGTTCACAAACAAAACACATAAATCAATTGAACATGTGATGTCGAACGTGAACTGTAAACACTGCATAACCCCGCGCCAAGCCATAACACTGTACAGTACACTTTACACGCTACGTATTTAGTTTTTCTCTTTTATTTAAATTTTTACAATTTACATACAGTATATGTATATGTAAATTGTAATTTACATATTATTCATATTATGCTACAGTGCCCACAAAACATGAGAAACTTCTGGAACAATTTGTGTTCGTTAACCGAGGGACCACTGTACATATTTCCTCGGTGAATGCAATAATTACATTTATATAATGTGTTAAAGATGAGGGTTGCTTGTGTGAGAGAGATAATGTTTAACAAATATTAAGGAATTATGTGCTTAGTACAGTATTATTTGTATGAATAAAAGAAATATACAATACAGTGGTACCTCGGCTAACAAACACAATTCGTTCCAGAAGGTCGTTTGTTAACCGAAACCATTGCTTCAATGGGATTTTGGGTTAACCGAATTGAAGATTCTTATGGAAGGTAATTCGTTAACCGAGGCGTTCGTTAACTGAGGGACCACTGTACAGTAAATGTTTTCAGTCCAAATATAGTTCAAACAAAAATAATCAACATCCATGCTTGGGTAACTTTCTCAAAGGCTGGAATTCACAAAGCTTTTTTTCTTTGCTTGTTCTTACACACTTAATTCAAATATAGAGTTTGTTCCACGAGTGTTCATGTTGTCGTGCTGGTTAAAAGTTTCATCTTGCTGAGCAGTTGACAGTGTGATGGGTAACATCCTTCAAGAGAGACTTCTAATTCTGTACTCTATTAACTATTACCACAAAAAGAATACGTGGAAGATAAAATATTTTTTCTTTGACTCAGGTTTTTGATAACTGTAGCAAAATGAAGAGCTATCAGTTTGTTCCTCTGCTGTACCAACTTGTTGCAAGACTAAGCTGCCAGAAAAACCAACAACATTCCTTCCCAAAAGTGATCTTCCATGTGTTAGGTAAGTTTATTGCACCCAAACTCATAATACTGTGCGGGGGTCCCTGGGTTACGAATGAGTTCCGTTCCAGAGGACTTTCTTGACCCCCGGGTTAGGGTGCTACTGGCAGTACATCCCTCCCCCCTCCGTGGGGTTCAAGCGAGAAAAAAATCAAATTTTCCAAAAATATTTTAAATAAAAAAAGAAAAGAATACATTAAAAAAAATGGCGTTAAAATAGGCAGACGTTCTGGAACGTCACCCGGGGCCTAAGGGCTAAGTTGGAATTTAATACGTAAATCGGAACACATACCATATGTGCACTATATCATAGCCCGTCCTTTTATGCAACTCAATTCACTTAATTTAAGAGAAAAGAAAAAAAAATGAATGACAAAATACAGTAAGGAAACTAAAAATTAAAGTTTAACACTTACATTGAAGCCTAGGACTGACTTGCCTGTGCAAATAGGCATTTGTAGGAGTGACAAAGGCATTCTTGGGATGGTTGAACTGAAACTTTCTTCTTTTCATCATAAATCTCTGTGTACCACCGTAGATATTCAATAATACCTCTGTGAATCTTGCTGTTTAAATTTAAACAATCCTTCTTCAATAAGCCTGAAACCATCCACCATTTCTTTTGTAATTAATCCCTTTGGTTCTGGATTGTCAGTTTCCTCTACATCCTCTGACAAAATTTACTCCTCCAGTTCAATCAGGTCCTCATTGCTCAATTCTTCAGCCTGAGACTCAAGCAACTGTGTGACACCATCCTCATGAATATCAAGCTGCAGTTAGTTCCCATCCACTCAAGTTGACAATGCAGGTGGGATGCTGTTGGAGCAAACAAGCTTCACAACATCCACCCTACATTGGGTGCCTGAGGATATCAGGGACTGTCACGCCACCAAGAGATTGCTTTGGCCCCTTTCCGCATTGGCCACGCACGGCTGCCTGGTCCCACTGACTGTTCGACACCTCCTGGTGGAGTGCCCCAGTCTCAGAGATCTTTGTTGTAAGCACCTCTCCCAGTGCCAGGGAGATGGGTCTTACTGTCTCTGGTGCAAGAGGGACGAGTGGGTAACATGGAAGGGGACGTCCTCTCCTTTGTGGAGGAAGCCGGCCTTCAACACAAGCTCTGAGTTTTATTTATTAACATTTAAATGTTTTTTTATGAAAATTGTATATTATTTATTGTGTTTTAATCTTGCATTATTTTATTTTAGTATTTAAGCTTTAAATTTAATTCGGCATCATATGACCTAAGCTGTTGCGTCCCCAGGAATGTAATTACCACAATCGATCAATCCCATTCCTGGGGACAGTTTGTTAGATCTGCCACTCGGGTATGAAAAGTGACAGATATGGTCAGAAGCTGGTGGACCGTACAGGTCAACATTGACAATGAGATCACATTACCGATAGGTCAGTTATTTGACCAATGCATAGTAACACCTTTGCATCAGTCAGAATTTTTTAAGCGGTGGAAGTGCATTGGTTGCATCGGCCTGGATCTGGCCCTGCATTACTACCCTGCAAAGGAGAGAGAGAGATAAGGAGAAGAGGAGGAGTAAGGAATGTGAGGGAGAGATAGATAAGAAGATGAACAAGTGTAAGAGCAAGGAAGAGGATGGCTAGTCACGTATGTGTGCTGAACTAGCCTCTATACTATACATTAATTATAAGCTCACTAAGTTACCTAGTGCCACAATATATTTCCCCTGTTGTATCAGAACAACATTCTTTTCTGGTGTGTTTATCCAGAGATGATTATGAACCTTCTTCCTTGCTTAGAAAACATTTGTTTCTCACTTGTGAATGCTTCTGTAATGCTTCAAACCAGGGCCGGATTTACCTACTTGTGGGCCCCAGGCCAAACTCATCAGTGGACCCCCAAATTTATAGAAATGTTTGCATACTTATTGTACAGGGGCCCCATACTCCGGGCTCTATACTTATTGTACAGGGGCCCCATACTCCGGGCTCTATACTTATTGTACAGGGGCCCCATACTCCGGGCCCTATACTTATTGTACAGGGGCCCCATACTCCGGGCCCTATACTTATTGTACAGGGGCCCCATACTCCGGGCCCTATACTTATTGTACAGGGGCCCTTATGATTGTGAATATATTATATAATGAAATACTCGGTCTACACTTGAAACAAGGTTATACGCTGGCACGCTGCGAGACAAATTAGTTTCAGTGGGCCCCAGATACTGGTGGGCCCTAGGCCAATGGCCTATTTGGCCTATTGGTAAATCCGGCCCTGCTTCAAACACAAGCTGACAGTGGTATCATGCAGTATACTTTACTTGTTGTGCTTAGAGTTCTAAGTAAGTCTCCTACAATTGTTACACTCATTCTAACTTTACACAAAGTGATTGTAGACAAACACTATGAATTAATACATATCTATTTTCATGTCAATAGCTGTGTTTCATTGTGAATTGCAGTGTCTTTATCTTTTAATTTTTACAACATGAATGTGACTTTGCAGAACGAATGTGTCAAGAACATCCTCACCATTGCTTGCCTGTAATCATTGCCCAAGCCCATGCTCATGCTGATGATGAATTAGTGAGAATTGGGAGTAAAAGCAAAAAGCAAGAGAATCAAGTTGTTGAGGAGGTAAGAACTACAACCACAGTTGTTTATTATTATGTGCCAGGAAACCAAGTGAGCTTACAGTTGCCATCCATCCACCAATATTTTCATCCATATATCAGTCTCTGTACCTCCACCTAGCCAGCGGTGTATGTAGAGGGGGGGTATTTGGCCTTGAACCCCCCACTCCCTATTTGACCCAAAGCAACCAGTTCACTAGGGTGTAAATAGATACAGTATTCAGTAACTAAGTCACAATGCTATATCAAAGGATATTTGTACATGTAACATGTTAGTTCTACAAAAAATAAACAGGTAAGTGAATGTAAATAGAGTGACATAATAAGGGGAGCGTCTGGCTGATAGTACAAAGAAAATCAGAAAATTACAAAAATATTCAGAAACATTTCCGAGGAAAACTGTTGCCTATGGCTATCTGCTGACATATTTCGATTTTGTAATTCGTAATATTTATGTAGCTATGCATTATTGTTCTACCCCCCTTCATTTAGAGGGTCATTCTGTTTACACAGGAAAATCTGTAGAAAAGTACTGTATTTATAATAATATTTTGGTGCAAATTAATACCAATCACTTGGTAAAGATCAGTATCTGGCACCTTTCTCAGCTAGCTAGCAGCAGGACTAGAGTCAGTTACACACAAAAGAAGCGAGAGTAAGCTTCATCGTGTGTTGCTCTCGTGCCACTCTCATTGGCCCATATCTCAGAGCGAGTTTTTCTAACATTCAAATCTGTAGGGCTCGGCCATTTATGGGCCGATTCTAATAAAACAAAAACTAAGTCTTAGAATAACATATTGTACATGGCTGAACATATAGATTTTCTTTATATTTGTCTTGGTTTAACATTTGTTGATTTATCTTTATAAATATTTGGAGGAAAAATGTTAAGCTAGGAAAAAAATTCCTGCACCCAAAACAAAAGTGATAATCAGAAATATCTATATGTCACTTTAAGAGGAGTAAATTACCTATCCTCCACATGAATTTCAACTTAATTTAGCAAGAAGTTATGGAAAAGTAGGATTTGAAAATTTATAGAAATGTAAGAGAAAAATCAGGTATCAGGCAGAACTGATTCCGGGGTATATCAACACTGTATCTGGTGTCCTTAATTGCTGACAGGAAATTGATATTTATTGATCAATTATTAAAGATTTTCGTGCTTCAGCCTAACGCTCCCCATCAGCCTATCTCGTGTATAGTTCAACCCCTGATATTTTGATAAAAAAGCCTGATTTTTTCATATACCTGGTGTATAATTTAACCCAAGCTTTTGAGAAATACTAGGTATAATCCTAGACATATTTTGTAGCAAGACACCAGATTCGCACAAATGCATCTTGACTTTGATCACCACTACAACAGCTGATGCTATGAGCAGTGTTGCCAAGTCTGAAACTGAAGTCCTGCCAGAGTTACCAATCCTGTTTATAAATTTCATCACTAAAAGTAACTTTTACTGTGCAATGTAACATCAAAACTTAAATTATAAGCATATAATCACCAATAATGATATCATAAAAAAAATATATATATATGCAAGTTACTATATATACTGTACAGTATATATTATGTTAATTTCAAATATTTCCATCTTAGGATCGTGTGCAAGCTGCAAAGATGTTGGTGCACCGATTGAGTACATCAGCTATTGCTGATAATATTATAGAATTTCAGAAAGTATCTCTTGCCTACATTTCATTGGCTGCTTGGTGTGACAAGGGCACTAAGTGTCCTGCAGGAAATAAGGTAAATGCTTTTTTTCAGTTCATTTCTCATTTATCTCATTACTTTTGCTAAAAAGAGAAGTTGAGTACATCATTGAGCTCTCTATTAATGACCCATATTGTGCTCCCCCCAGGCCAGCCACACAGATGACCAGGTGCACCCTAGTATATCTGACTCTGTTTCTAATGTGATAATAGTCTTCTCTTACTTCATCAGTGGCTACATAGAGGAATTAAGAGATTCAATATAAGGTCACTTAGACTAGATTTCACTAGACAACTGTAGTGGCAAATCTATGCTTTACAAGATAGATGAGATTGGAGTAGTGATGATGGTACACACATAACAATGAACAACTCAACAGGATGTTAGAGAACACATGATGCTATTCACTCTTTGTTCCATCTGCTTCCACAAGGCTTCATGTGCCCTAACTGCATATTAGAGTCCACTCATGTTTACACTAGTCACATGAGCTTTACACATCCAACCGGGCCAGTTACACAGTTTTAAATTTTTCTCAGACATTAAGTGAAGTCACATAAAGCAAGGGACACCTGTGATTAATGACTGGTTATCCGTCAGATTTACCTAATGCTATATGTGAGGCTTCCTTAAAAAAACCTAGGTGCTATATAACAGTAAATCATACACTAGTTTTTATATTAGTTCCTGTCACATGGCTAGATGAGTCTCCTGGTTCAGGTTTAGTTATAAAATGGTGTTTCATGGTTAATCCCTCTTTTATTGTGTACAGTTAAAGATTTTTTTATCTAGTTTGCTCGAGGTTAGAATAGTTTATAATTATAATGAATCACATGTTTAGTTATTTTATTTTACTCCAAGCATCTTTTGTTTCTCCCCACCTGTAACCATCAGGTAAAGATACCAAGCAATCAAATATTAGTCAAGCTTCAAAATCTGAAGTACACTGCAGCATTGACTCGACCCTTACAACTTCAGCCTTCAACCATCTACACTCCATCACTAATTGTTGGATGGGAAAATATATGTACCTTTGTTGGAGGAATTAATGCACCAAAACGACTGACTCTGAGAACATCTGATGGACTGAAGCAATATGAGCTTCTGAAAGGCAATGATGACATCAGGCAGGATGCAGTGATGGAACAGGTAAATTCACTGTCACAATAAAAAAAAAAAAATTGGCCTCTTTGTGGAGCAATGTTTTCTTGCATATTATTTATTTTATGACATACAAATTTCCACTGAGTGATAATTCAAGTACAGGTTGTACCTCTCTAGTCCGGCATTCTGTGGTCCGGAAACTCCCGTGGTTCGGAACGATTTTAGTTTGTCCAATAGGGAGATAGGCAGGTTTTTTTTTTTTTCTTTTCTTTTTTCTTTCTTTTTTTTTTACTTATCTGCATTATTATTATTATTACAGGAGTATTAAATTTTTGCCCCTCAGACCCCAATGTGGGTTAGTGACCTATGCCCGGGTTGGCTAATCCCCATAAAAAAAAAAACGACAACAAAGCGCGGGAAATTAAGGCAGTTCAGCTGCTCTCTCTCTCTCTCTCTCTCTCTCTGCTTGTCTATACAGAGTACAACATTTAACCCTTCAATATATATGAGCAGTAAATAAGTGTTGCTTTCATATTCTTTTGTAGAGTAATGACGATATGTTTTCACATGTGCGCACTTACATACGCGCAGTCTCACATTTTTCTTCACCATTAATGGTTAGCTACTTATATTGTTCCATTTATTACATTAAATAACATTACAGGTACAGCAGTACCCCGATTTACCGGTCAATTGAACCCACAGGGTACCACGGAAAGTGAACAACAGAACATATGGGATTAATTCCAATAGAGACTGGCCCGACCCCCAAACTCCACTTTTTCCGACACAATACCTATGTTGTAGTAAAAATAACATATAAATTTTATGATGGTATGCTCACACAATTAATATTTAAGAGAAATACAGTCGCCAGGTTAATGTCCATTCAAATAATGGACTCAAATCCCCCCCCCCCTCTTCCCAGCTCACTAGCTCCTACCTCTCTGAGAAATGTTGGGTGAAAACACTAGATTTTAATGTTTAGTAATAAATAATACCTCAGACTAAAGATAGGATAATATAATTGACATTTCTGGATTCCTTGCAGGTCAGGGAATATTTTGAATGTAAACTTCATATATTTTGCACAAAAGATAAAATATTTGCTTTGTGTAAACCAAATTATTACATTAGATCTAAAATTTGTATGTCTAATGCAAAATTCATGATGTTTATATTCAAAATGATCATCATATTGTAAGAATTCCAGCAATGTAAATTATATTCTGGCCGGGTAATTGTATGAATTTTATGAGTTAAAACATATATCTTCAGTTAATAAAAAAAAAAATATTCTTCCCGACACTATCTGTCAATCAAAGTACCCCACCTTGCCTACCCCCCTCCTCACACTCACGCCAGCTGGGTCGGTCGGTCCCAACCCTCCACCTTCCCTCCCTACCAGAGAAATGTTGGGTGAAAATACTAGATTTTAACTTTTAGTAATAAATAATACCTCAGACTAAAGTTAGGATGATATAATTGACATTTCTGGATTCCTTGCAGGTCAGGGAATATTTTGAATGTAAACTTCATATATTTTGCACAAAAGATAAAATATTTGCTTTGTGTAAACCAAGTTATTACATTAGATCTAAAATTTGTATGTCTAATGCAAAATCCATGATGTTTATATTCAAAATGATCATCATATTGTAAGGATTCCAGCAATGTAAATTATATTCTGGCCGGGTAATTGTATGAATTTTATGAGTTAAAACATATATCTTCAGTAAATAAACAAAGAAATATTCTTCCAGGACACTATCTGTCAATCAAAATACTCCGCCCTAGCTGGGTCGGTCCCTCCCTCCCTCCCTCCCTCCCTCCCTCCCTGCCAGAGAAGCTTTGGGCGAAAATAGTATATTTACATTTTTAGTAATAAATAATAACTCAGACTAAAGTTAGGATAATATAATTGACATTTCTGGATTCCTTGCAGGTCAGGGAATATTTTGAATGTAAACTTCATATATTCTGCACAAAGGATAAAATATTTGCTTTGTGTAAACCAAATTATTACAGTAGATCTAAAATTTGTATGTCTAATGCAAAATCCATGATGTTTATATTCAAAATGATCATCATATTGTAAGAATTCCAGCAATGTAAATTATATTCTGGCCGGGTAATTTGTATGAATTTTATGAGCTAAATTAAAAAAAAAAAAAAAATTATACTTCACCGGTATATGAGTAGATGCACCGCGGAAAGTGAAAGTCCGGTTCTGGCAAGGTACCGCGTAAATGAGAAAAATCTAAATCGCGGAAAGTGAAACCGAAACCGTGTAAAGCGGGGTAATACTGTACTTCAAACAAGCATATTAATTATTTTACATTAATTTTACTACAGCTACAATCAAGGTCTTATTTTCTTCAGTTTTATATGTAGAACCAATCAGTCACTGGTTTTGTAAGCATTAACGAAAACAATGCCGTAAAAGCATCCTCTGATTTGCTGCTTGGTTTTACAAAATAACCTAGAAATTTTGCTGATGAGCTCTCTCAGCAAACTGCTTTCTTTTGCTTGTCTGAGTCTACATGGGTTTGTAAATCATTTGTGCCTTTATTTGCCACAGAGACAAGTATCATGTCTACATATCAAGCACTCAGCTTCCCATTCTTCTCTATCACTTCAAAAACACTTTAATTTTATCTTTAGTCCTGCAATGAATTTACACTTCTGTTTTTGCTTTGCATTTGGGGATAAAATAAAATATCAAATAAAGATATTTTGAAGTAATGCTACTGTGCACAGAACGGACTCAGATACAAAACTGAAATTAGATCCATGGCTGAGCCAGGGGAGGAGACTTTGGATAAATCGTACCTGTCCAGGATGAAAACTGAAGGATGTAGTGAAACAGACAAGTCCAAGACCAAAGATCAGCACACACTCTTTCTCTCAAATGATCAACACTCTTTTACCCAAGAACCAATGAATATTTTATTCCTAATTTTATATGATGATCAATTTCACATTGAAAACCTTTGGGGAAAACATGGATGTTTGGTAACCTTAGTCTATCAGACCACAGACAATGCATGTAGTTCATTCTTATTAACAATTGCAGTAGCACAGGCCAAGAAGTAACATCATACATGGTAAAAATTATCATAAATCAAGAATATGAGTGACAAATGATGTTTTGGATATGGGTGGACACTGACAACAATCCTGTGGAATGTATTTCATCTCTTGTCAAAGACTTGTTAGGGAAGTTAGTGTACCAGCAGCATTACCAGACTATGAGAGCTACAGTAAAGTGTGTGGGATGATGATGAAATAGTTAATGCTTTCATGGGCAGAAAACATAATGAGAAATGAAAGCAAGGTTACAAGGAATTTTAATAATCAGGAAAATCTGGAGCAGCCATGGGTGGTATATATCTGAAACCATAAAATTATCCATTACTATACTTAAACCATTACTATTTTTATCTGAATAGGTGTTTGGAATAGTCAATGAGCTCCTGGCCAAGAACAGTGAGACGAGAGAGCGAGCTTTATCCATGCGAACCTATCAAGTGGTTCCTTTATCACAGAAAAGTGGACTCATTCAGTGGTGTGACAATACTCAGGTAAGGGCTAATCAGTTGTTTACTATCTGGAAGACATACGCTCACCCATATTCACTACAAGCTAGTTATTGCTACCCAAGATAACCATCCCCTCTGTGGTCTCCACGTAATATATATACAGTCATGCATTGGTTTACGTCCGTCCGAACAACGTCTGATCGCATATACGTCCGTGGCCCATAAAAATAATAAGAAAATAATGGGGATAAAAAAACCCATTCAGACAACGGGACGTAGACATTATGTTATTTTATTAGCCTTCTTAACCTCTGTGTTTCATTAGTTGTGTACGTTATCTAGTGAATTTAATAAATATTTTACAGTACAAGTACACTGCAATATTCCACATACACGTAAGTATAAATATAAAGTTCACAATGTGATGTTCAGACAACGTCCAATTCGGTTGACGTCACGTTTCCAAGAACGTATCTAGGACGTAAAGTGACGCATAACTGAGAAAGCTTCCACGACCCTCATACAAATTTTACTTCAAATTTTATATTTAAAAAATAGGAAGTCAATTTGAATATTTGGCAGTTGTTGGACAGTATGAATGTTTTTAAAACAGGCCTTAAGAACTTTCAACAAAATAATATCCAGCACTGAAAATGGTATAAAAAATAAGAACTTATTAACTCCACCCTGAATAGGCCTTCAGGGCACTCAACAGAATTATATTACTCCAACAGATGCACTTCTAACCTCTTAAACACTATTCTGGGAACAAAGGTTACCTGAGATCAGATATAAAGAAAAAATTAAATGCATTAAAGGAACTAAATCACACTATCACTCTGGTTCCACTTAGTGACACAAACATTAAAAACAATACTATCAAAATCTTTTAAGAACTATTACACACGTCAAGATAATATCAGTAACTGAAAAATGGTACTAACTACACACAAAAAGTATTGTCACTATTATTGAGATGTTACTGGGTCCAATAATACCTGGGAACCATGCTCACTAACTTTATAATAAGGAGATAAAATGTTTCTCTAGGTATCCCTAGACTCCTGGTCTCAGTGTGTGACCATTAATTTATTCAGATAGCCTCAGTGTACTCTCAGTGCGCCCATGGGTGGGAAGAGAGAAGCATACGGGTGACCATGGCCAGTAGGTAATACTTCTAGCTGACCGAGGGCAAGTGGTGTTGTGCACCACGTGGTAAGAACTGATCACCCAATGCTGATGCTGGTTCCGTGTCGCTTTAGTTGTCAGGAGCACTTTCGTTCATTGAGAGATCCTTTGCTGCCCGCTAACCAGTGACAAGCCTACACTGATCGCTCCATGGTGACAATCGCAAGCCTCAATCATCAGCAGTCAATCTCTACGATCCAAGTGGGTTCTGACGGAAAACCTGAAATTAATTCACTGTTAGCTCTTTTTAACTTTTTGCCCTATCTACCCTATTTGAGATCGAATGAGACTTACTTGTTATACTGCAATAGCGCAGCTACAGGTGACTAGACCACGTGACTATTCTCTTAGGCGAGCTTAGGGCGTCCTGTTGGTCGATCGCTTTAGGTGACTGAGAAACAACCAGCCTCGCCTCCCCAAAGGCGTTAGCTTAGGCCCACGTGACATATTTTCCGCCTAACTAATACTTTCTTGGGACACCCATAACATTATTCAGACTGATAAACGATCTATAATAATTTCAAATTTACTAATAGTCCCTTAACTTCATGAATCGCATCATTATTAATTCCAAACTACATTCAATATCGTATAGGCCCAGTTCCAAAAGCTCTCCCTCGTGCAGGGCGCTCTCTTCCCTCAGACTGACCTTGAAAACTCAGTATCATAATGGCGGTGTTTGAAATTACACTGAAGTTTTGAATATTATATATATATATATATATATATATATATATATATATATATATATATATATATATATATATATATATATATATATATATATATATATATATATATATATATATATATATATATATAATTTATATATATATTATATATTTAATATATATATATATATATATATATATATATATATATATATATATTATAAAATGATGTATTACCCCAGGCCTTTGGCCTATACCTTATTGGTGCAGAGGAGCACATGAGCCAGAAGACTATACTGCTGCTACTTGTAGAGTTAAGATGATGGAGGTTAAAACTTTGTCTTCAGAAGAACGATTAAGTGTTTTTCAGGTATAAATATATGTATATGTTACAGTATTCATAGATTTATTCTTAAACTATTGTCAGTTTTGCATTTACAGATTTGAAAAAGGATTCAACTTTATATGAATAAATCTTATTTTATGACCTTTGCTTACTTCTGATGACTAACAACTTTATGGGTTGAAAACCCAGGTTTCTTATAGACATTACCTACTGGTATCAAATGATTTGTACAGTAGAATTCCAGTTATCCAGTATCCATGCAACCATAGATTCAACTCACCAGCACCAAAATGAAATAGAACATGCCCTGACAATTTGCGATTTTAATTCTCGGTTCTCGATTATTCGTGATGACTCTGATGTACCCAAGAATGTCTAAGGGTAGCTTTAAAGTTGGTGTCATTTTTGAGGCTGGGACAGGGAGCCATTCGTTTTAGAAACAGTATTTTTTTTTCTGTATTATATATGTGTGTGTGTAGACACACACACAAAACACATACCAGCTACAGATAAATAATAATAGGAAATTCTCACAAATAATCAGATACAAGAACAACAAAATTTAAAAAAAATGTGAGTCTACCCTCAAGTCAACTCCATGCTTTGTTTTTAAAGTAAACTGTTCTTTATTCTGTTTTCTAAATAAAGAACAGTTTACACGTTGATGCTTCTGTCTTTCTATTGGTGTTAGCTGTCTTGAGGATGCATGAGTTACCCAATGTCCTGCATTGATTATAATGAAGGGTTTTATCCTGAAATTCCATTTCATAATATCCATGGATTGGCCAACACATATCCTTCCCTTCCCAGAAAAACTGAAGACTTAAGATTTGAAATTCGGCTGATCCTAAGATTAGTTTTCAAGTTCAGCCTACTTGGGTCATGGGATGCATCCACATTAGCAGTGGCATAGACTTGCATCTCTCTCAGTTTTCAGGCTTATCAGAACAACCCTCATTTTATATGGAGAGATCCATCTTTAATTTTTTAATTTAAATAAATTTTTGGAAAATACTGTATGGCATTTATACAATGGTCAGTGCAAGATTACTCTCCCTTATGTGATTGTTTTGCTTTACCACAGGACATATTAGATAACTTCCATCCAGTGTTTCGTCACTTCTTCATGGAAAATTATCTCATGAGTGGTACAAGGCCGCTCTGCATATACAAAATCTGTAGCCACCAACTCTATGGTTGGCTACATACTGACACTGGGAGACAGACATGTAGAAAATATTCTTCTTGATAAATCTACTGCTGAGCTCATACACATCGACCTGGGGATTGCATTTGAGCTTGGTAAAATCTTGCCAACGTCGAAACTATCCCCTTCCGCTTGACTCCGTAATGATTTTAAGAATTAATAGAAATTGTCTTTTTGGTGCACAAGAAATTTTCTCTCTACAACTGTACTTTAATTAATGTATCTCAGGCAATTAAGATATTTCAAATAGATTTCCCATGTTAGTATGATTTTCATGCCACTTTGCTTCAATTTCAGCTTCTAGTGTAGTAAATGAAGCATTTATAATATTGATTTCTATGCATTTTCTTTTGCCTACTTTCTGCTAAGTCAGTCTTTATTATACATACATAGTTTCTTTTTATTTAGGATATAGTAGATGGATTAGGTGTGATGGGAGTAGAAGGTCCTCTCCGCCAATGTTGTGAGGCCACTCTGAGTGTATTACGGAGCTCAGGGGAGGTGTTGGTAACAGTCGTTGAAGTCTTACTTATGACCCTCGCACCAGTGGACTCTGTCACCCCAGCAAGTGGCTCATCTTCAGGCCAGCGGTGAAGATGAAGAACAAGGAATTGGTAAGCAGTTTATACATACAATGTACTCATCATAGGTGTCATCTTGTTCAGTGGAAATTGCAAAATTTCAGTTTATCCATTGTAATTAATATTGACTCTTGATTATAATTACCATTCATGTGTAATCTTTGATATTCTTCCTCTGGAACTGCCCTAAGTAGATTTTGTCTGCTCTAGAGAATGATTTCCCAACCTAGGGGTAAATTACCCCAATCATGTAATTAGATGAATACTGTAAGTGGTCCCTCGGTTAACGAAGCCTCGGTTAACGAGATTTCGGTTAACGAGCGCCTCGGTTAACGAGATTTCGGTTAACGAGCTGCCTCCCATAAGATTCTTAAAGTCGGTTAACGAGCAACCCCTCGGTTAACGAGTTTCTTACGAGCCGACCTCAACATGTTTTCGCTTGCACTGGGCGGTCAACCAGCTGTAGTATTAGTCCACCAATACATAAATCGGCTCTAGGGCTTAAATTCCTGACTATTTTAGTATATATCAAGAAGTTTATACTGTTCAATAATTTTAAAAGTTTAATATTCAATTTTTTAATCATTTTTACAATTATTGAACATAATTGAAGGTAAAGTGCCTAGTTTAATGCGCGGCATCCAGCCTCTTAACACAGCAAACAGGCGTTAAGGAGTTCGTGGTATAATGTTGTCTAGCACTCGGATGGATGGAAACTCTAAGGTGGTTTTCTTGAATAATATAAGTTATATGATAGACAGTCTGGTGCTGGAGGTGCCGTGGTGGTAGGAGCTGCTCAGTAGAGACGCTCGTGAGTAGCGTGTTGAAGGAGGTAGATGGGCAGGAGCTTCAAGTAGGAGATGTTGCCTGTTGCTGGCCTCCTGGTTGAATGAATGCTGGACAGCTGGGAGGAGGTGTTGCTTGTTCAAGAAGAGAGACCAGAATGAATCTCAATGGAGAGACAGAGCTTATATACCCAGCAACCGTGAGTCCTCTATGAGTCATGTTGGGAAAACCCGAGAAAGTCGCTGGTCTTTGGTTCGTTGCTAGGTTATGGTAACATCTGCTGTCGCCGCTCGCTTGGTTGCTAGGATACTGTCCCATTGGAATGCGGATACTAGTTGTAAGGGAGAAGTCCACTACAAGTCTCTCTCTGTTTTCACTGGAGGTAACATCTTGCTTGAGACTCTCTTCAACTAAATGCTTTTTTCTGTGTTTCCAAGCAAATTATTGGTCATTTTGAAATTTATTTTACATATTGACAATATATAATGCAGTGCAGTGTTATTTTA